TTTTTACCATCTTTTAGAACTATTTGGCTTATATAACTCCTACCCCCACCATTCATATTGTTGCAGTTATTATAATGTAGATGTCATAGTCAAAACCTTCTGTTTACTTTAATGTCAGATCTAGATCACAGCAATTTATTGTAGCTATTCTCATATCTGACAAAGCAAACTTCGAGCCAAAGTTAATCAGAAGAAAAAAGAAAGTCACTTCATACAGTTAAAGGGAACAGTCCAACAATAATACATAATGATAGTAAATATTTATGCCCCAAATGTTGGTGTACCTAATTACATAAAACATATACTACTCAAATTAAAGACTCAGATAGACCCCAGTACAATAATGCTGGGTAATTTCAATACACCTCTCACAGATAGATAGGTTATCCAAACCTAAACTCAGTAAAGACTCTTTACACCTAAAAAAAATTATAAATCAAATGGATTTAACAGGCATCTATAAACTATTTAATCCAACAATATACAAATATGGTTTCTTAGACGTCCATGCAACTTTCTTCAAAATAGACCATATTTTAGACCACAAAGCAACTCTTAGCAAATACAAAAAAATTTGATATAATTAATTGTATCTTATCTGATCATAATGGAATTAATTTAAAATCAACAGCAAAAACCCTACAGGAACCATATAAACACACGGAGATTGAACAACAATACACTTCTGAATAATAAATTGGTGCTAGAAGAAATCAGGAGAGAAATTTAAAAATTCTTAGACTCAAACAAGAATAGTGATACGACATACCAGAACTTCTGAGACACTATGAAGATGGGCCTTAGAGAAAAGTTTATATCTATGAGTGCCTACATAAGAAGATGATAAAGAACCCAGATAAACAACCTAATGATGCATCTCAATGCCCTTGAAAAACAAGAGCACACCAATTTCAAAACTGGTAGAAGGAAATAATTAAGATCAAAGCCCAAAATAAATGAAATTAAGAAAAAAATACAAAGGATCAGTGAAATGCAGAATTGGTTATTTGAAAAGATAAACATGATTTATAAGCCCTTAGTCAAACTAAACAAAAGAAAAAAGAGCCAAATTAACAAAATTAGTAATCAGAAAGAAGAAATCACCTCAGATATCACAGAAATATGGAAGATCATTAAAGATTATTTTGAATAAACTTAAACTCCAATAAATTGGATAACCTAAAAGAAATAGATCCATGTCTAAACACATATGACCTGCCAAAATTGAATAAAGAGGATCAATAACCAGCAACGAGATAGAAGCAGTAATAAAAAAAACCTTCCAACAAAGAAAGCCCAGGACCACATGGATTCTCAGCTGAATTCTACCAGATCTTTAAAGAACTAATGCCAATGCTCCTCAAATTATTCCATGAAATAGAAATTTATTCTATGAAGCCAGCATCACCCTCATACCAAAACCAGATGAGGACATTTCAAGAAAGAAAACTACAGACCAATATCTCTGTTGAAATTGGATTAAAAGAGCCTTAATAAAATATTAGCAAATCATATTTAACAACATATTAAGTAGATTGTACATTATGACCAAGTTGGTTTTATCCTAGGGATGCAAGGATGATTTAACATACACAAATCAATAAATGTAATTCACTGGAGAAACAGATTCAAGGACAGAAATCACAGTCATCTCAACAGATGCAGAGAAGGCCTTTCACAAAATTCAGCACCCATTCTTAATAAAAACACTGTAGAAACTAGGGATGAGGGAATTTACCTCAACATCATAAAGGCTATATGAAAATCCAAAGGCAACTTCATAGTAAGTTGGGGAAAAACTGATAGCATTTCCTTTAAAATCTTGAATAAGACACAAATGTCCACTCCCACCACTCCTATTCAATATAGTACTAGAAATTCTAGACAGAGCAATTAGGCAAGAGAAGGAAATAAAAGGACTCAAAACAGGAAGAGAAGAAGTCGAATTATTACAGTTTGCAGATGATATGATCCTATATATAGAAGATCCAAAAAGCTCTACCAGAAGACTGTTGTGGCTAATAAATTCAGCAAAGTAGCAGGCTATAAAATCAACACAAAAAATAATTACATTTCCTATACATGAATAATACATCTTCTGAGAAAGAAATCAGGGAAACACTTGCATTCACAATGGTCTTAAAAAATACCAATAAATATATGAAAAAATGTTTAACATCATTAGCAATCAGGGAAATGCAAATCAAAACTAAACTGACCTTTATTTTATCTATCTATCTATCTATCTATTTATTTGCAGTGCTGAGAATTGAACCCAGTGCCTTACAATGCTAGGCAGATCCTGCATTATATGTAAAACTGTATGCATATATTTTTTTAAAAAACTACACTGAGATTTCATCTCACACCAATCAGAACGGCAGTCATCAAAATTACAAACAATAATTAATGGTAGAGAGGTTGTAGAGAAAAAGGAACACTTCTACACTTTTGATAGGATTGTAAATTAGTACAACCACTATGAAAATCAGTATGGAGTTTCCTCAAAAGTATAGGAATGGAGCCTGATATGGTGACACATACCCGTAATCCCAGTGGCTGGAGAGACTGAGGCAGGAGGACCACAGGTTCAAAGCCAGCCTCAGGTACTTACCAAGGCTATAAGCAACCTAGTAAGACCCTGTCTCAAGATTTTAAAATTTTCTTTTTCTTTTTTTTTAAAATATTTTTTATTTGTTTATTTTTATGTGGTGTCAGGGATAGAACCCAGTGCTTCAGGCATGCTAGGCAAGTGCTCTACCACTGAGCCACAACCCCAGCCCTTAAAATTTTCTTTTGAAAAGGGTTGGGGATGTGGCTCAGTGGTTATGTGCCCTTGAGTTCAATCCCTGGTGTCAAACAAAACAAAAGACTAGAAATGGAATCACCATAAAAACTAGGCCACAATATTCCTCAGTATTTATCCTAAAGAATTAATATCTGCACACTATACATGCATACTGTGTTCATAGTGGCGCAGTCCATGGATAAAAAAAAATGTGGTATATATACACAATAGAGTTTTATTTGGCCATAAAGAAATATAAAATTGGGCTGGGGTTGTGGCTCAGCGGTAGAGCACTCGCCTAGCATGCGTGAGGCCTGGGTTCGATCCTCAGCACCACATAAAAATAAATAAATAAAATAAAGGTATTGTGTCTAACCAAAAAAAATATTAAAAAATAAATAAATATGAAATTATGTTATCTTCAGGAAAATGGATGGAACTAGTAACCATCATTTTAAGTGAAATAAGTCAGACTCGGAAGGTTAAGGGTCATATGTTTCTCTCATACATAAAACCTAGAGAGGAAATTGGAAAAGAAAGGCGAGGGCATCTGATGAAAAATCAAAGGGAGATAAGTGGAATAAAGGGAAGGAACCAGAGGGAGGGAGGAGGAAAGGGAAATACTAGGGGATGACATTGGCCAAATTATATTGTTGTATTGTATGCCTAAATGAATATGTAACAACAAATCTCATTGTTATGTACAACTACAATGCACCCTTAAAAATTGGATTAATGGAGCTGAGGATATAGCTCAGTTGGTAGAATGCTTGCCTCGCATGCACAAGGCCCTGAGTTCAATCCCCAGTACCAAAAATTTTTAAAAAAATTAAAATAAAAAACTGGATTAAAAGAATTTAAATATATATAAAACTGGGCATGGTGGCACACGCCTGTAATCCCAGCAGTTCAGGAGGCTAAGGCAGGAGGGTTTTGAGTTCATAGTTAGCCTCAGCAACTTACCAAGGTCCTAAGCAATTTAGCGAGACCCTGTCTCTAAATAAAATATAAAAAAGGGAGGGGATGTGACTCAGTGGTTAATTGCCCCTTTGGCTGCCTACATCAGTCCTTTTGTAAAATATTTTTTTTAGTTGTAGATGGACACAACACCTTTATGTTATTTATGTATTTTTATGTGGTGCTGAGGATTGAACTCAGTGCCTCACATGTGCTAGGAAAGCACTCTACTGATGAGCCACAACCCAGCCTTTTTTTTTTTTTTTTTTTTTTTAAGGAAAGAAAGTATTATTCAGGAGGTAGAGTCAACAGCAATAGAGCACTTGCCTCGCACATGTGCTTGATCACACTGGGTTCTACCTTTAACACCACATAAAAATAAATAAAATAAATAAAGATACTGTGTCTATCTTTGAAAAAAAAAATTTTTAAAACAAAATCCTTTCTAGGAAACAGAACTGTGTTCCAAACAAACAGAAACTGGTGATACATGTCCACCTAGAATTACAAATTGCTACAGACTCATAATTGTTATGTACCTCTTATTTTTCCTGTATATATTTTTTTAGTTATTGATAGACCTAAATTTATTTATTTATATGTGGTGCTGGCTGAGAACTGAACCCAGTGCTTCACACATGCCAGGCAAGTGTGCTGCCACTAAGCCACAGCCACAGCCCCTTTCCTGTTTCTTAGTGGTAGTATCTCTTATGGTTATCCTACCTCTGTCTCATCATTGCATGTTAATGCACTGAGTGTATATGGATCAGTTGACTTCTGTGTTAGTTCAAGGTCTTCAAATTAAGAATCATATGCCCTGGGCTCAGTGGAAGCACACCTGTAATCCCAGCAGTTTGGGAGGCTGAGGCAGGAGGATTGCAAATTCCAAGCCAGCCATAGTAACTTAGCCAGGTACTATGCAACTTAGCAAGACCCAATATTAAAAAAAAATTAATGGCTGGGAATGTGGCTCCATGGTTAAGTGATCCTGGGTTCAGTTTCTAGTACAAAAAAAAAAAAAAAAAGAATCATACCCAAGGAGTTGAATCCAAGTACCACACTTAAGGAGTCTCATCTGTACCCTGTACCTAGACACGATGCAGACAATGACATCCTGAGTCTTGAGTGGATTCAGTATCAGAATGTAGTTTTTGAGAGGGGGAGAAGTCTTAGGAAGGATGTGTGTGTTTTGCATGTAGGCATGTGGGAAGGACATAGATTTCTGTGGCTATGGGTAGCTTCTTAGTGCATACCTGTGAATGCTCTTTAGGAAGTATAAATATTAATTCTTCTCCAACGCTGGACTCCATAACTGCATTTGGTATGTGATGATAAATAAGATGAGAAATCTTCTCTGTGTCACAGTAAGGATTTCTCAGTAAAGTCATATAGTATCCTGCACCTGAAACACCACGTAAAAGACCATGAAACCATTTTACTCTTTATACTTCTCTTCTTGGGCCACACTTAGTTTTCTGTGGCTCAGAATGGGACAGCTCCAGGGGGAAAGCGATGCTAGAGAGCCTTGTGGGGTTAAGTTTAAACAATGAGGAACTGGTTGGCTTCAGAAGTTCTGTAATGCTATTCTGGAATTTTCCCTTCTGCTCCAGAAGAGGGAGGTGATATATTGCAATGCCAGGCAATATGAAGGACAACTGCATTAAGGGCAACACTCCCTTTAAGTGATAACTAACTGGGGGAAATAAACACTTGGAAGGCAGAGGCCTTGAATGTTAAGATGATTACCAAAGATACCTGCATCAAAATTACATCCTGGTTTTGAGGATACATACTTCACAGCATTTGAAACATTCTTTCAGAAATCAGTGACACTTTTTACTGTCATGCTGGACATGTATTCATTTAACAAACATTTCTTGAGACCAAACACCAGGTAATCTTCTAGGTACTAAGGATATAACAGTAAAAAATCCTTAATCTCATGGGGCTTTCACTAAAGGATTAGGAGGCAGATAATAAACAAGTTAAATAAGTAAAATTTATAGAGTACTAGTGACAAGTGCTAAGGAAAAAATAAAGAGGAGAGGGGAAAGGGGGTATCAGGATGTGATTTTAAACAGGATAATGAAGGAAAGCCACATTGAGACAGTGACATTGGTATAAGGATGACAAGGTGGTGGCCTGAGGAGGACAGTCACTCAGTCTGGAGAACCAAGTTAGCAAGGAGTGTGGGTGGAGGAGAAGAGCAAAGGAGAGTATTAGGAAACAAGGACAGAGGTGACAGAACTAAACCAGGAAGATCCTATTCACTACTTTCAGGACTTTGGCTTTTTCTTTTTCCTTTGGTGGTACTAGGGATTGAGCCCAAGACTGCCCTACCACTAAGGTACACCGCATCCTTTTTTATTTTTTATTTTAAGACAGGGTCTTCCCTGTGTTGCCCAAGCTGTCCTTGGATTTGTGATCTTTCTGCCCAGCCTCCCAAGTAGCTAGAATTACAGGTTTGTAACACTGTGCCTGGCTCAAAACTTTGGCTTTTATTCTGAGTGGGACATGAAATCACTGGAGGTTCTGAGTATGCTCTGTCAAGTGTTCACATTTTTTTTTTTTTTTTTGGTACCAGGGATTGAACCCAGAAGCACTTAACCACTGAGCCACATCCCCATACCCTTTTTATATTTTAGAGACAGGGTGTTGCTGAGTTGCTTAGGGCCTCACTGAGTTGAGGAGGCTCACTTTGAACTCACAATTCTCCTGCCCCAGCCTCCCAAGCCGCTGAGATTAAAGGTGTGCACAACTGCCACTGGCAAGTGCTCACTTTTTGACAAGTGGGTTCAGAACAGAGTGAGGAAGTGCAACAGCAGTGGCTGGAAGATGGGTTAGGAAGCAATCCCAATAATAGAAGTGGGAGAAGATGGTGACCTGGATCAGGGTGCTAAGAGGTAGGGAGAAGTGGACAGAACCCAGATATATTCTGAAGGTAAGACCAAGAGGATTTGCAGATGCATCATAGATGGGCTGTGAGAAAACCAGAGGTCAGGTTTTCACCAAGCACCTTGAAGAGTGGAGTTGCCTTTTCTGAGAAGATGAAGGCTGCAAGAGGAACAGGTTTGGTGGGAGAAAGCAGGATCTCAGGTTTGCTAGACTTTGCACAGTCTGAGAGGTCCATCAATACTTGCTATGGTATGAATATGGTCTATCCCTACCAAAACTCATGTGGAAGCTTGGTATCCCAATACACAGTGTATTAGGAAATGGGGCCTAGCAAGAGGTTTGTGGGTCATGAGGGTAGAGCCCTCAGTTGAATTAGTATCTTTCTTCTGGGAATGAGTTCTCACTCTCAAGGGAGTGGATTAGTTACGGAGACAGTAGATTGTTATACATCAGGTTCAGCTTCCTCCTCTTTCTCTTGCTTCTATTCCACAGCACCCACTTGCCATTCTGCTTTCTGCCACAAGCTAAATCAGCATAAGACCCTCACCAGATGTTCCTGCCCAATCTTGGACTTCCCAGCTTCCAGAACCATAACCCTCTTTCCTTATAAATTATCCAGTCTCAGGTATTCTGTTATAGCAACAGAAAATGGACTAGGACAATGTATAAGTGGAGTTGCAGGCTTGGCAATTAGATATATAGACCTGAAATTCAGGAGAGGTTGAAGCTAGAGACATATATCTTAAGAGACAGAAGGTGTTTAATGCCAAGAGATTGAATGAGACATTAAAATTGGTAAGTAGAGAAAGAAAAGAGATGGAGATGATTAGAGCTAGGAATGATGCAAATGAGCAACCAGAGACATGTAAGGAGCCAAGTGAGCATGGGGTCAATAGAAGGATGTCTGAAGTGGGCCACTGGTAAGGATTACAATCAGTTGTGGAAGTTAACAGCTATTTTTTTTTTTTTTGTACCAGGGATTGAACTCAGGGAAACTCAGCCACTGAGCCACTTCAAAGCCCTATTTTGTATTTTATCTAGAGACAGTCTTACTGAGTTGTTTAGTGCCTTGCTTTTGCTGAGGCAGGCTTTGAACTCACGATCCTCCTGCCTTAGCCTCCCAAGCAGCTGGGATTACAGCTGTTAGCCACTGTGCCTGGCTAACAGCTCACTCTTGTGTAGTGCTTTCTCACACACTTTTCCTCTTTGAGGAACATGATATTTTAATCTCCTTTTTATAGATTAGAAAACCAAGGCTAAGAAAGAATAAACTAACTTGGCCAGATGGATAAAGAGGCAATCAAATAGCAAACTGAAACATAAATGTAGGTCCTCTGTCTCCAAGTCTTAGTAATTTTTTTTTTAGAGAGAGAGAGAGAGAGAGAGAGAATTTTTTTTAATATTTATTTTTTAGTTTTCTTTAGATACAACATCTTTATTTTATTTTTATGTGGTGCTGAGGATCGAACCCAGCGCCCGCACACGCCAGGCAAGCGCGCTACCACTTAAGCCATATCCCCAGCCCCTCAGAAAATTTTTTAACATTATTCCCTCCTCATCTTCAGAAGCACTCCATGGGGGCAACAGAACAGAAATCTAGAGGAGGCCTCTCTCTGCTGGTCTCAGGGCCCCTCCCAAAGGCTAACAGTGGGTAGTGCCTCTTGGCACAGCAGACAGTGGTGCTGACCTCTATCCTGGGATTGAGACTGGGCTACCCCCACCCACTGCTCACCATATTTCTGCTTGAGGAACAGTGATGACCCACAGCACTGCAGCTCCCCCTTGGCCATGATGGCAATGCGGTCCCCCAGTAGGTCAGCCTCGTCCATGAAGTGGGTGGTCAGGAGGATGGTACGGTCACTCTTCTGCTGCTGAAGAAGGTCCCAGATGGCCCTCCTGGAGATGGCGTCCATGCCTGAGGTGGGTTCGTCCAGCATCAGCACCTGGGGGCACAGGCACAACCTGATGACAATGGGAGACCTGTGTGGTGGGACTCCACAGCTGGAGTCCAGGGATTTGCAGAGCTGGTTCAAGTTCCAGAGCCTGAGGCCTCTGGGCCTGCTGCCCTGTGTCTGTCCACTGTGTTGGTGGAAGCTGTGCCCTAGTGTCCCGTACCTTGGAGCCTACTATGAGGGCGATGCCGATGGACAGCTTGCATTTCATGCCCCCACTCAGGAACTTGGACCGTGAGTTGCGCTTGTCCTCCAGATTGAGGATGTGCAGCATCTGCTTGACTTCTTCAGGGCACTTCTGCTGAGACAGGCCTTTCAACTGAAATGGCAGGAGACAAGAGATGAGACTGGTGATACAAAAGGCACCCAACTCTGCCCAACCAACATTTCGTATGTATATATGTAAAATATACACATGGAAAATATACAAGAAGCTTACTACTTTTGGGGAAAGGGATAGACAAAAAAAGACTTCTGCATTATATTATTTACTGTGTAAATAAATGACTTAATAAAAATAAACACAGCAGTATGTTAAAAGGATAATGCATTATGACCAAGTAGGATTTATCTCAGGAGTACTAGGGTTGTTCAACACATGAAAAATCAATGTGTTTTATAATAAAGAATTTGTCTGGCTTTTGTCTTTGGTTCCTGGAAGGAAGCTCCTAAATCCTCAGAGCTTCCCAAGTGATAGCAGTGTCTTTGTTACTTGTGGTGAGCCCCTCAGGTCACGCCAGAGTTTATGCTAGGGAGGTGACTCAGGATAGGGGCTGGTCATACCAGAAAGACCAGCCATTTGGTTAGAGGCTCTGAGACACATGATATCAGCCTGACCTCCCCACCTCAGGGGAGTAGAGGGAGACTAGAGATTGAGTTCAATCACATGATCAATGATACAATCATTCATGCCTATATAATAAAGCCCCAATAAAAACTCTGGACACTCAGAGATCCTGGACAATAGTTTTAAAAAGTACAGTTAATGAAAAAAAAATTAGATAAACTGGAGATATCAAAACATAAAACTTTTGTGCATCAAAAAGAAAAAGAGAAAAAGAACACTGCTGCTGGGAGTGATGGCATATATTTGTAATCCCAGCAACTTGGGAGGTTAAAGCAGGAGGATTATGTTATGGTGAAACCTTGTCTCAAAAAGGGAAAAAAGCATCAATAAAGAGAAAAGACAATGCACAGAATGGGGGGAAAATTACAAGCCATATATTTGATAAGGGTTTAGTATCTAGCTCCTAATAAAAATATGTCCTAAAATTCAACTACAGGGGCTGGAGTTGTGGCTCAGTGGTAAGAGCACTTGCCTAGCATGTGTGAGGCCCTGGGTTCGATTCTCAGCACCACATATAAATAAATGAATCCAATAAAGGTCCATCAACTTCTAAAAAAATATTTTAAAAAATTCAACTACAAAAAGATAAAAAACCCATCTGAAGAACGAGCAAAGAAATTGGACATTTTTCCAAAGAAATATACTAACAGCCAACAAACACATGAAAAGATACCATCATCAGTCACCAGGGAAATGCAATGAAACACAGAGATACTACTTCATACCCACTACACTGACGGTTTCTTTTTAAAAAAGTTAAACATATAGTTATCACAACTTGAGAATTTCACTTCTAGGTATATAACCCAAAACAGATGTTCAAACAAAAATTTAGACACAGAGGTTCATAGAAGCACTATTCACAATAACCAAAGGGTAGAAATAACTCAGATGTACATCAACTGATGAGTAGATAAACAAAAGTTGCTCTAACCATGCAATGGAGATGTAGTCAGCTATTAAAAGGAGCAAAGTATTGCTGGGACTGGTGGCACACACCTGTAACCCTAGCTACTCAGGATGTTGAAGCAGGAGAATTACAAATACAAGGCCAGCCCGGGCAACTTAAAGCCTATCTTGAAATAATAATGAAAAAAAGGGCTGGGGATATAGTTCAATGATTGCCTACCATATGCAAGGCCATGAATTCAATCTCTAGTACTGCAAAAATAAATAAATAAAAGAAGTGAAGTATTAATTATACAGGATAAAATGTGGATAAACTTTAAAAACATAATACTAAATGAAATAAGTCACATATTACATGATGGCATTTATATGAAATATCTAAGATAGGCAAATCTGTAGAACAGAAAGCAGATTAGCGATTGCCAGTGGCTGGTGGAATAGAGAAATGAAGAGTGATTTTAATGTACAAGTTTTTCTTTGATAAAAGTGTTTTGCAGGGGCTGGGGTTGTGGCTCAGTGGTAGAGCACTTGCCTAGCACACGTGAGGCACTGGGTTTGATCCCCAGCACCACATAAAAATAAATAAAGGCATTATGTCCATCTACAACTAAAAAATATATAAAAAAAGGAAAGTGTTTTGCAGTTAGATAAAGGTAGTGAGTGCACAAAACTGAGTGTACTAAATCCACTAAATTAACATTATAAAATGAGTAAAATAATGACTTTTATGTTATGTGAATTTTATTTCCATAAAATATAACAATAAATAGGGTTTCTAAAAATCCTTTCACTCAGAAATCATGCCCCTCCCCCTCTCTGAATATTTGGGGAATAGTGTCCAGCATTATTGAGACTATGATAAAAAGAAATACATATTTGATTTCTACCCTGCTTTCTGAGACAGTGCTCCCAAAGCCCTTGTAATTTCCTGAATGATAAGAAGTCTAGTTCTAATATTTAATCTAATATTTAGCCTTTGACTTGATACTTGATTTCATCTGCTACTCAGCCCCTAGATCCCTGGAAATTTCCTGGGTTACAGGAGTGTTTTTTGTTTTAATGAGGTGACTTTTTTTGTAATAGTGATTGAACCTGGGTGTTTTATCACTGAGACACATCCCCAATCCTTTTTAAAAATATTTTTTAGTTGTATATGGACACAATACCTTTATTTTATTTGTTTTATTTTATTTTATTTTTTATGTGGTGCTGGGGATCAAACCCAGTGCCTCACACATGCTAGGCAAGCACTCTCCCACTGAGCCATAACCCCTACCCTCCCCAATCCTTTTTAAAAATTGTTTGAGATAGGGTCTCACTAATTTGCCTTGAACTGGTATCTCATTCTAGTTCTAATATTTAGCCACACACCGTGACCTGTGTGAGATGACTCTGTAGGTTCCTGGTCAACCTTAGGATAAGGGTTAGTCACTAGAATGACCAAGCCATGATTACATACTTGGAACTTTCAGTCCCACTCTGTATTCTCCAGGGACTAGGGAAAGAGGTTGGTGATTGAACTAATAATCAGTCATGCTTACATAATAAAGCCCAAATAAATAGTCTCTAGGTTATGGAGATTGGAGAACTTCTAGATTAGTGAGCATTTTAAAGTGCTAGGAGTGTATTGTGCTAAGAGGGTGTGCCACACACACTTTACCACATCTCTTACTCTGTATATCCTCTGGGTGTTCATCTGTATCCTTTATAATTCCCTGTACAATAAACTGGTCAACATAAGTAAATGTTTTCCTGAGTTTTATGAGCTGTTATAGCAAATTATTGAACCTGAGGAGGGGACTGTGGGAACCCTTGATGGACAGCCAGCTGGCCCCAAGAACAGGTGACAGGAACTTGTAATTGGTATCTGAAGTGGAGGGTGGGCAATCTTGTGAGAACAAGCCCTTAACCTGGGGTTGGGGGAGGGTCTATGCTGCCTCCGGGTAGTTAGTATCAGAACTGTAGGATACCCAGTTGATTTTTGGAGAACTGGCTGGTGTGGGAACCACCCCACCCACATGTTTGGTGTAGAAGTGTTGAGAGTAAAGAAACATGAGTTTTCTCCTAACAGATTCTCCCAGCGTGAATCAGAGAGCTACAGTATATCTCACCATTGTCAAGAATGAACAGTAGAAACATTCTAGTTATTTTCCAACTCACCTGAGCATAAAAAAAAGATGTTCTGCTACTGTGAAGTTATCAAATAAGATATTGTGTTGTGGGCACCAGCCTATGCTCTTCCTGATTTGAACCATGTCTTTTGAAATCTCATATCCATTGATATATGCCTGTCCACTTGAAGGGGAAATAAGACCTAGAACAAAGTGAAAGGGATACCCTAAGTCATCTTTGGTTAGCATATGCATCAGTACAAAGACTATAATTACCCCTGCTTTACTTGCTTGTTCTCCAACAGACTGTCCCTATTCTACTTATCTGCCACCATCAGTCAGCTAGTAACATCCAATGAATATGTATGGCAGTGGAGATTATTAGAAATAGGAGATTATTAGAAATAGGAGATGTCGGGGCTGGGGATGTGGCTCAAGCGGTAGCGCGCTCGCCTGGCATGTGTGCGGCCCGGGTTCGATCCTCAGCACCACATACAAAGAAAGATGTTGTGTCCGCCGAAAACTGAAAAAAATAAATAAATATTTAAGAAATAGGAGATGTCATTCTTCCTCCTGCTTTTGAGAATCAATCTGGTTAAGTGAACAAAACAACATAGGCGCTTGTGAAGCAAATCATATTATTGTAAGGAATAAACAGTGATTTGGATGAATAGTAAATACGGTGAAAGAGAAAAGCATTTGGGGAAACTAACAGTTTTGAATTAAGATGTTTGGCAAGATTTGTACTTATCTCCCCAAAATATCATGGATGAATAACTGCACACACTGCCAAATATATGCCAGTTTTATGGTTTGAACTTGGAATGTCCCCCCAAAGTCTTATGTGTTGAAGGTTTGGTCCCCAGTACAGTAAGTTTCAAGAGATAGGGCTTTTTGGAAATGATTGGATTGTGAGGACTTTGACAGCACAAGTGGATTAATCTACTGACAATAGAGTACTGGGAGGTGGTGGAAACTTTAGGCAAGTGGGACATAGGTTGGAGGAAGTAGGTCACTGGAACATTCCATTGGGACTATGCCTTGGACCTAGCAAACCATGCAATGGAGCCAGCCAACCATTGACTGAAATCTCTGAAACCATGAGCCAAAATAAGTCTTTCCTCCTTTAAGTTGTTTTTGTTAGGTATTTAGGTCACAAAGACAAAAAACTAACTAATACAACCAGTGTAAAACTTTGAAGACTGCCTACCTACATACTATCTTTGTCTTTATTCTTGTTAGGTTGAAAAAGGCAATAAATTCTTATTACAACAAGGTTGGAAAAGAAAAAAAAAACATAATAAAGAAAACAAAGAAACCAGATGTAATTGAACACATTTGTAATCCCAGTACTTGGGAGGCTGAGGCAGGAGGATCATAGATTCAAGGCTAGCCTAGGCAATTCAGTGAGAATTTGTTCAAATTAAAATTTAAAAGGGATGGGGGAGCCAGGTGCAGTGGTGCACACCTGAAATCCCAGCAGCTCAGGAGGCTGAGGTAGGAGGATTGTGAGTTCAAAGCCAGTCTCAGCAAGAGTGAGGTGATAAGCAACTCAATGAGACCCTGTCTCTAAAACACAAAATAGGGCTGGGGATGTGTGGTTGAGTGCTCCTGAGTTCAATCCCTGGTACAAAAGAAGAAAGAAAGAATAGAGAAGAAAGAAAAAGAAAAGAAAGAAAAACATGAGGGGGGGTGTGGCTCAGTGGGAAGCACTTGCCTCACATGTAAGAGGTCCTGGGTTCTATCTCCAGTATGACCCTCCCCCCAAAAAAAGCAAAGGTTATAAAAATGCCATCATTAAAAGATAATTCTCTGTTAACATTTTGCTGTATAAGCTTAGGTTATTTTTTATGCATACAGTCTCACATATTTATTTATTTGTTACAGTGCTGGGGATTGAACCCAGGGCCTCCAGCATGCTAGGCACTGTACCACTGAGGTACTACCCCATACACACAATTAATTTTTAACTAAAATGGGAAAATACAAATTCTGTTTTTAACATTTTTCTAAATATAACAAAGTATGGTTGAATTCACTTTGTTCACATCAAAAACATTTGTATTGGGCTGGGGTTAAGGCTCAGCAGTAGAACGCTTGCCTCGTACATGTGAGACCCTGGGTTGGATCCTCAGCTCTACATAAAAAATAAATAAGTGAAATAAAGGTTAAAAAAATTATCTCCATTAAAAAATCTGTATCAATTTTAAGTGCTAAAAGGATTTCATTGTTACAAATCTACTCTATTTATTCAACCCAGACCTACGGATATTTATATTATGTGCAACTTTTCATAAGAATAAACATACATGAAAATTTTGCTTACTTATCTCCTTATTCTAAATTAGTATAATTAGATTTGGTAAGCCAAAAGGAAGGCAATAGTTTAAAGGTTTTTGATACTAACTGCTACATTACTGGCTGCTGGGTGTTTGGATCTTCTACTTTGGCTGTATATAATAAAGTATCCATGATTGTTTGGAAAGTAAAAGGAAAAAAAAAGTGATACTATTTTATAGCAACTTGTAACAAGCCTTTTATATAAAGTTACAACAGAAGAACTTATAGAAAATTCAAAAGCCAAATAACTTTACTGAGCAGAGAAATGTGGTCTGAAACATTAAACATGCCAGTGCCAGATTTGGGGCCTTTTTGCAAACAATTACCATATGGAAGCCCTTTGCTCTCTGTCTTCCTGGCAAGCAACCAGACTTTTCTTCCCAGCTTAGCATATTCAGATGTCCTGAATCCCATCATGTAAGTCTTAGTGGCTGCATTTTCACCAGGGCAGGGTTAACATTTTTCTATGCCATGTCATGCTGGTAGAAACTGTGGTGGGGCTTCTCTGATATAGCATTCACAGCTTTTTGGTGGCTTTTGCAATTATATTAATAGATTAATTTAGTCATTTACTTATAATATTTATTGAGTACCTATGCAGTGTAAGCACTATCTAGGAATTGTGGATCCAGAAGTAAACAGAATAGGTTTCCTCAGGTGCAGAATGGGATTGCAGATATAGAGAAATAACACATATATACAAATAAATGAGATAATTACAGACTTTGAGGAATACTAGAGACAATCAAAAGGGAATGCAATAAGGGAAGGGTCTATGAGATGAAGCAAACAGGTGGCTTCCCTAAACAATCTGGTACCTAACTTCTCTCCTTGACACTCCTCACCCTAGAGGGTATAGCTGGATCTCCCTCCTGATAGTGAGGAACTCACAAGCCCATGTAAGGGGAGAGGCCCTCCCTAACTGGTCACACTGCCAGGAGCAGCAAGGCCTGACCTGAAAGAGAATCTGCTTGACCCTATCCAGAAAGCTGTCAGGCTCAGTCCCCAGTTTTTACACACACAGAGTTCCTCCACTTTAGTATAAACTGGGCTGAGATGGCTTTCTAAGTCCTGATACAAGAGGGGTGGCCACAGGCACCTCTCCCCAAGCGTCACTATTTGGTTGCTCTTCAAATGTTTTTGATGGAAGACTGAATACATTCATATTGGCAACATGTGAAGAGATCACAGCAGCCAGACTTTAAGTGCTAGAAGTTTCTCAACAGTATGGTATTCTGTTGTTGCAAGGAGAACCTGTTGGCTTTAAGAACTCCATGAAGTGCATCTTATTGGTTTTGTTCAGAGCTTTATATATGTTAAACCCTCAATAAATATGTTTCTTGCATGAATTTTTTCAAATTTCACAGAATACTATTTATTTGATAGAATGTAAAATAATTACTTAGGTATATAAATTATTCTGAAATTAGAATCATTTTAAAATAATTCACCAGGTATCCTTTTTTTGGGGGGAGGGGGTACCAGGGATTAAATCCAGGGTCTCAAACATGATAGATAAAATCCCTACCACTAAGCAGCATCCCTTGTCCTTTACATTTAATTTTGAGACAGGATCTTACTAAGTTTCCCAGGCTGGCTTCAAATTCATGATCCTTTTGCCTCAGCCTCCTGGGTAGCTGGGATTACAGGTATGCACCATCACACCTAACTTTGCAGTTACCAGTCTAAAAGTACCTGTGACAATCGAAAGCAAATAAATGGGTAATGTTTTTGTTAAGAGATTAGTTCACGCCTCTCTGTAGCAGGAAGGTTCTAACTGCTATTCAGTGTTCATGGCTTCTCCTGGTAAAGAAATTAAGTTCTGCATATTGACTGAAAGAGGCAAAGACTTCCTTTCCATGGTGCAGAGTAAACTAAACAACCAGATATTACATAGATGGTAAAACAAACAATAAAACAGTGCTTACTATCAAAATGTCAGTGAAATCTAACAGGGAAGATGGAGCCCAAAATCTAGACCTGCTCAATGATTTCTTCAGTGTTTCCTCGGGAGGGCTGTCCCCACCCAGGTACCTGTGAGCATGGAGCAGGTGGTGGTTTTTCCTGCTCCGTTGTGTCCCAGAAGAACAGTGATCTGACCTCTGTACAGATTCATGCGCAGATCTTTGACTGCTATGTGTGCATTCCCTCTCCTGTAAAATACCTGTGGGAAGGTCAAGGTGTGACTGACAGAGTGACACACACATGCAGAAGGCATTTTTTAAAATATTTTTTTTAATTGTTGATGGACCTTTATTTTATTTATTTATATGCGATGCTGAGAATAGCACCCACCATGCAGGAGACATTTCTGAATAGACTATAACAAACTGCATACCCACATCAACTTCTCTCAAAAGTTAATCTGTGGGAATCCAAGTGGGAATCTAAAAGGAAATGGCTTATTTTATTATGCCTCTGAGGAGGGTGATCTGGAGCAATTTCAATGGCACCTTTCCCCTGATACCTAGAACCACAGAGGGCTTAGAACTCAAGAATGAAGTATTTGAAGCATAAACAACAATCTTCTCCCTGCATCTGGAACTAGACCTTGCCCTTTTACTGAGCTAGGCCCCTGAGAAAGGACACCCTGCCTCTTCAGTGTGAGGTTATTGACCTAGGTAAGGAATCTTAGAGTTTTCCAAGTCAAATGTCTCCAGTACTTTAAATACCATTTTTAAAAATTACATAAGTATACCCACCACTTCCTCATAGTTGAAGAACAGACATTCAAACAGAACACCCATGCTCTGCAGGATACTAAGGCACTGAACTCACATCCTGTTACTGGAGTCCTAAGTTGACACAGGGCACTTGGTGGAGCAAGGCTGGCAGACACTATGAAGGGACATTTACCTCCTTCTGCACTGATATGCTAACCATGGAATCTGTCAAATCTAGTTTGATTTGACAGATAAGTTACCCACCAATTGGCTGAATTCCAGCACATCTCCAATGGTGGGTGTTTGGCACTACAGAATGAGAGGAGACTGCCTCTAAGAGACAGATCACCAGACAGGCCATCCAGTCACTTAACTCCACGACAGGAAACAGAACAAGACATTTCAAGTTCTATCTCTAAGTTTGAGGATGGCATTACAGAAAGAATTTAAATTCTCAGTCACAAAGTGTACCTTGAAAGCACTGTTAGAATAAAACAGGCTTTTATGAGCTGATTCTTAAGTCCTTGGAAAGACATTATATATATGAGCCAGTACCTTGTATAGATGCTGGATTTCAATTCCTCTTATCAGATCAGTTCCTGTATGAACTCCTTTTTTGGAGCTTCATTAGGATCACCCATGTCCAGTAGTGCATGTGTAACTGGAATAGGCTTCCCATGCCAGTAGGAGGGCTGCAGAGGAAGTCAACCTATACATTAATCATATAGGTGGACTGACTTTATCTTCTGGAAGATAAATACTGTGGTAAGTTAAATCTTCCCTCTCTGACCTGCAGTTTACTCATATCAAATATTTAATGATGCCTGAGAAAGTTCATCAGCTCACTTGTGGACTCATTACCAGTCAACTGCATTTCAATCTATAACCCATGGTCCAGAGGAATGAGCTAGGAAAGCTAACTAACTAATCTCTAGGCTCAAGGTACTTAGAAAGCTACTAAGACGGCAGTCTAGGCTGGAACCTAGAGAAATACCAGAAGTAACCCTACCCATTTCCCCACACTCCGAGAATGGAAGCGAGAAAGTCTTGGCAGAGGTCCCAACAAGTGCCTGTGTGATTCAGTCAAGATCCTACAGGTCTGTAGCTACCAGAGGCCACTGCAGCAGACTGAGTCAAATGTGATACTTAACTTGTAAGAAAAACTTAGTTATCATGGGAGAGAAGGAAAACGGTAGCCTTTCTAGAGCCTTGAGAGATGGCACAGAGGTCTCAAAGAACTTCAGGGCCACCTCATCAGCACACCTCAATGGGGAAAGGGTGTGTGGGGTCTCTAGCATGTTGGAGATTGAGTCCTATGGGAGAATATGGGACCTGATACTTAATAGGCCCAAGTTAAGGCATCGCAGGCACTCCAGGGGAGACTACATGGTACTGACACCTCACCCCAGCAGTGGGGCAAGAATCAGGGAAACTAAGACTCAGTGTTAATTATGCACCATTGGCAGCTACAAGCTAATGGTTTGGAATGAACCCTGGCCAGAGACCTCCTGAGGATGAGATTTTGATCAGGACATCACTGAGAGATGTAGGAATATTGATGACAAATAATAAAAAGCCTAACATCCATCTATAAAGCAGCAGCATTAAAACTCACCATGGCAAAGAAGTACCAAGGCTTGGGTATCCCAAACTTCCCTGGGAAGACGGATTCCACATACCAGGTTATTATACAGTACAATAATGAATCCAGCAGGAGCATCAGCATCACCTGAATGAAGCTAAACTCTCCACGGATACTGCCCATGTTCTTCCATTGGATGCCTGTGCCTGTTACAAAGGAAGGAGGACATTCACTACATCAAAGGCAGAGACGCCAACTGACCTTTCCAATAAGAGTCAGGAAACAGGCCAGTTTCTGCTAGGGCATTATGGGACCAACATGAGACATGGGGAAAGAGAGAGATACAGGAGTTGTGTCTAAGAGCTAAACTTTTGTTGTTATTGTTGTTGCTGTTTTTTTTTTTTTGTGTGTGTGTGTGTGTGTGGTATTGGGGATGGAACCTAGGGCCTTGTGCGTGTTAGGCAAGTGCTCTAACACTGAGCTACATCCCCACCCCTTTTTTTTTTCTTTTAATTTTTTATTGTTGGCTGTTCAAAACATTACATAGTTCTTGATATATCATATTTCACACTTTGATTCAAGTGGGTTATGAGCTCCCATTTTTACCCCATATACAGATTGCAGAATATTTTTCCTTCTGAGACAGAGTCTCACTAAGTTTTCCAGGCTTGCCTTGAACTTGCAATTCTCCTGCCTCATTTTCCTGAGTAGTTGGTATTATAGACATACACATTAGGCTAGAAAAAGTATTTTTATTATTATCAAAAAGGTGGTAGTACTTTCACTGACACCAAAAAGTAAGAAACTTGGGGGCTGGGGTTGTGGCTCAGTAGTAGAGTGCTTACCTAGCACATGTGAGACCTTGCGTTCCATCCTCAGCGCCACATAAAAAATAAATTAATTAATTAATTAAATAAAGTTAAAAAGAAAGAAAGAAACTGGGTGACCCAAGACACATCTCCACATTTCTACACACACTATCTGGAATGCTTTTCTACTCCTCTTGCATCTTCTTTGTTGGCTAATCTTACCTCAAAGATCAGAGCAGATAGTACTTACCCAAGAATCATGTGTAGACCTTTGATTGTGAGTTAACTTTATTTTTATTCATTATAAATATAAGGTTGAGTTGACCAGGTTGACCTCAAACTTGCAAACTTCCTCAAACATCCTCCTGCTTCAGCTTCCCAAGTAGGATTACAGACATGGGCCACTGTACTCAGCTGAGTATCCTTTCTCATAAAGTGACTAATCAAGTATTTTCTTCTAATTTTTAAATTTTAATTAAAAATTTTTCCACCTAACTTTTTGAACTATAAGATAACATTTTTAACTGATTTTTATGAGTTCTTCAAATATTCTGGATATAAGCCTTTTGTCAGTTAAATGTGTTTATAAGCATCTTCTCCCACTCTGTTGTTTATCTTTGTCTTCTCTTTATGGTATCTTAATTTTAGTGTCAATATTTTTCATTCTTTTCAATGGACTGAAATCTCAAAAATTGTGAATTATAAACATTTCCTCTTTTTAATTTGATTATCTCAGTTATTTTGTTATGGTAATAGAAACCTGATTAAAGAACATGTTAAAAGCATATTCCTCAGGCTGGCATATAGAGAGGTAGTAGAATCTTCAGCATATGGGGCTTAGTGGGAAATCTTTAGATAACTAGGGAGTGTGCCCTTAAAGGGGATTATGTGACCCAAATTTCTTCATTTTTTCTTCACTCCTTTCCTCATTATGTAGGAAGTTTGTTCTACATAGTCATATCAGGATGTGCCAACCTCTGAGAGGCCCAAAGCACTGAGGCCACCTGCTCTTCAACTATGACCTCCAAACTGTGAGCAAAATAAACCTTTCTCTTTGTAAGTAAATTATTTCAGGTAGTTTATTATAGTAACATGAAACTGACTAATATAGTCTCCTAGATCAACCTGTAAAAGAAGAGACACTAGGGGCTGGGCTGTAGCTCAGTGGTAGAGTGCTTGCCTCGCAGGTGTGAGGCCCTGGGTTTGATCCTCAGCACCACATAAAAATAAAATAAATAATAAATAAAGATATTTAAAAAGTCTTTAAAAAAAGAGAACTCATTAAAAAAAGAAGAGACACTAAAGGCAATAAGAATAATATATGATATATATCTGTAAAGTTTTAAAATATTATCCAAGCTTCTAATCATAAGTCTCCATATTTTGTATCTATAATTACATAGGCATTTAATTTTCTAATTCTTTTTTTTTTGAGCCAGAGTCTTGCTATGTTGCTCAGGCTAGCCTCAAACTTCTGAACTCAAGTGATTCTCCTCCCTCAGCCTCTCAAGTAGCTGGGACTACAACTGCACACCACCACATTCAGTTCTAATTTCCTAATTATTTAATATGCTTTAGTTCTTTTCCCCAAATATATTGGTTATTTTTTTTCTTTCAGTACTGGGGATTGAACTAGGGGTGCTCTATCACTGAGTTACATCCCCAGCCCTTTTCACAGTCTCATTATGTTGCCCAGGTTGGTCTTGAACTTGTGATCCTCCTGCCTTGGCCTCCCAAGTAGCTGGGATTACAGACATGCGTCATTACAAACAGCTTTCCAATTTTACTGTAAATTGTATGGTTTGAACAATATTGTGTATTTCCTTAGAGTCGCACAAAGTATCTACCACAGTTCTAAGAATAATGTAAATGCTCAGAACACTGAATGAACTGTGTCAGTTATATTTATTGGTAAATGAAGGTCAGCCTTGCCTGGGGCAAAGCATCAAGGCACCACCCTAGAGACAGCTTGGGAAAGATAAATCTCACCTTTTGCCTCAAACATGGAGATGAAGTGGACTCCCATTGCCATGGCAACATTTGAGAAGAGACAAAAGGTTATCTTTTCAAAGTAGCTCCTCTGGTGGTAGCTGAATGTGAGGTACAGGTAGGGGAGGTAGGTGAAGAAGAAGATGATGCCTCCTGAGGCAGTTCCAACGTGTGCTGCAAATTTAGATGGAAGATATCAAGAATTTCATTAGAAATGCACAAAGAACTATGACATATCCTTTTTTCCCCTGCCACAGTAAGGCAAGTATCTCTGTGTTTGTCTCAGCATTTCAGAGAAGAAGCAATCTCTTAAAAATTTTTGATAGAGACCTTTTACAGTCGTACACTCACTGGATTAAGATGAAAAACATTTGTAGCACTTAAAATGTGAAATGACCTTTATATAAAGGCATAAATATCTGTGTAAAACTTTCTCTCTTTAAAACTGCATTAATTTCTCCTACAACAAAAGCCCTCTTCTTCAAAGATGAGTGGTAGTTTGAAAAGCAGCTATTAACTCCTACCGGCAATACGCCAAGTACTTTATATATATACATCATCTTATTGAATCTTCATAACTTCCCTGTTTTTCAGAGGAGAAAACTGAAGCTTAGTCACACAAAATAAATTTGTTTAATGTCTTGAAACTAGTGAGTTATGGTAAAGAATTCAAGGTTTTTCAGTCTGTAGACATAGTGGCTCAAAATTTGGATCCAAGGCCAATCTGGCTGACATCTGGGAGCTAAACTCAAGTTAAATACAGATGTTTAACTCCTAGAAAGTTAAAAGAATAAGAATTGAAAATATGGGCTGTGGCTGTGGCTTAGTGGTAACACAATTGCGTGGCACGTGTGAGGCACTGGGTTCGATTTTTACTTTTCTTAATATTTATGTGTGTTTGTTTTAGGTACTCTACCATTTCCCCAACAACTTGTCTACCCCAAATCACTTCCTCTCTCTTCTCCTGCTACTAACCATCTTCTTTAGATTCCTTTCACACTTCCTAAGATCTAATAACTCTATATCCTCACCTCTTACCCCCTCAAAAATCTCATCCTACCCTTCACCCACCCCCACCCCCAAATTCTTTGTCTACCATTGGAAACTGAAAACTCTTGCAAACCTACTATTTATATTGTAGATAATAATGGAACTCACCATTTCTGTAAATTGTGACTAAACCAGAAACGCCTTAATAACAACTATTTGGTTTAAGGTTGTATATTGTTTATATTGGGATCTGTTAACAACTGATCTTCCCCTCAAAGGAGAGGTATTAGAAAACTGCAGGAGCACTATAAGCCTATAGGTAAAAACAGTAATTCCATGGATCTGCAGTGTTAGAGGGGAAGACACACAAACAACATGAAAAAACAGGGGAAGAAAGTGCCCCAGACAAATCAAGATACTACATTATTAGAATCCATGGCCACAACAACAGAAGAAATGACAGAGAGGGAGTTCAGGATGTACAAAATTAAAATGTTCTGTGAATTAAAGGATGATATAAGAGAAATATGGGCAGCAAAAGATCATTTTGATAAAGAGCTACATAAGCAAATACAGGAAGCAAAAGATTAATTCAATAGGGAGATAGAGGTTCTGAAATAAAACCAAACAGAAATCATTGAAATGAAAGAAACAATAAACAAATCAAAAGCTCAATTGAAAGCATCACTAACAAATTAGACCACTTGGAAGACAGGACCTCAGACAATGAAGACAAAATGATCTTGAAAAGAATGTTGACCACATAGTAAAGATGGTAAGAAACTGTGAGTACAACATTCAAGAAATATGGGATAACATAAAAAGACCAAATTTAAGAGTTATTGGGATAGAGGAAGGCATAGAGTTCCAAATCAAAGGAATGAACAATCTATTCAATGAAATAATATCAGAAAATTTTCCAAACATGAAGAATGAATTGGAAAACCAAATATAAGAGGCTTACAGGACAACAAATGTACAAAATTACAACAGATACACACCAAGGCACATTATAATGAAAATGCCTTGCATACAGAATAAGAAGAAAAATTTTAAAAGCCACCAGAGAAAGGAATCAGATTACATATAGGGGGAAAAACAATTAGGATATGTGGAGATTTTTTAATCCAGATCCTGAAGCTAGAAGATCCTGGAACAACATATACCAAGCTCTGAAAGAAAATGGATGCCAACCAAGAATCTTATGTCCAGCAAAATTAACCTTTATATTTGATGATGAAATAAAAATCTTCCATCATAAACAAAAGTTAAAAGAATTTATAACTAGAAAGCCTGTACTACAGAACATCCTCGGCAAAATTTTCCAAGAGGAGGAAATGAAAATCAGCAGAGGGAAGTATCACGCTAAAGGAAAAGTTAATCAAAGGAGAAAACAAGTCAAGTTAAATACCAAAAATAAACAAAATGGCTGGGAATACAAATCATGTCTCAAAAATAATCTTGAATGTTAATGGCCTAAATTCACCAATCAAAAGACATAGACTTGGGGCTGGGATTATGGCTCAGTGGTAGAGCACTTGCCTAGCATGAATGAGGCACTGGGTTCTATCCCCAGCACCACATAAAAATAAAAACAAGTAAAATAAAGGTATTGTGTCCATTTGCAACTAAAAATAATTTTTTAAAAAAAGAAATAAACTGGCATATTGGATTAAAAAAAAAAGACCCAACAATATGCTGCCTCCAAGAGATTCATCTCATAGGAAAAGACATTCACAGACTGAAGGTGAAAGGTTGGAAAAAATCATACCACCCACTTGGACTGCAGAAACAAGCAGGGCTTTCCATCCTCATGTCAAATAAAGTAGACCTCAAGCTAAAGTTAAACAAAAGGGATAAATAAGGACATTTCAAACTGCTCAAGGGAACCATATGCCAACAAGACATAACAATTATAAATATATATGCCCCGAACAACAGAGCATCTACATTCATCAAACTCTTCTCAAGTTCAAGAGTCAAATAGACCACAACACAATAATCCTGGATGACTTTAACACAATTCTTTCACCAAGGGATAGATCTTCCAAACAAAAGCTGAACAAAGAAACTATAGTACTCAATAATACAATCAATAGCTTAGACTTAACTGACATATATAGAATATTTCATCCATCAATGAACGAATATACTTTCTTCTCAGCAGCACATGAATCCTCCTCTAAAATAGACTGTATATTATGCCACAAAGCAACTCTTAGCAAATACAAAAAAGTAGATACTACTCTGCATTCTATCAGATAATAATGGAATGAAATTAGAAATAAATGATAAAATAAAAATAAAAGCTATTCCAACACTTGGAGACCAAATAATGTAGTATTGAATGAACAGTGGGTTGCAAAAGACACCAAAGAGGAGATAAAAAATTCGTATGGGGCTGGGGTTGTGGCTCAGTGGTACAGCGCTCGCCTTGTGTGTGAGAGACCTTGGGTTTGATCCTCAGCACCACATAAAAATAAATAAACAAAATAAAGATATTGTGTCAATGTAAAACTAAAACATATTTAAAAAAAATTCTTAGAGGTGAATGAGAATGCTGATACAACATATGAAGTCTCTGGGACCCTATGAAGGCAGTACTAAGAGGAAAGTTCATTCCTTAAAAGAATAAAAAAGTCAACAAATAAATGACCTAACATTATATCTCAAAGCCTTAGAAAAAGAAAACAACACCAAAAGCAGTAGAAAACAGGAAATAATTAAAATCAGAACTGAAATCAATGAAATTAAGAGAAACAACTGAAAAAATTGACATAACAAAAAGTTTGTTCTTTCAAAAAATAAAAAAATTGATAAGCCCTTAGCCATGTTAATGAAGAGAGAGAAAACCCAAATTACTAACAAACGTGATGAAAAAGGAAATATTACGACACTACAGAAACACAGAAGATAATTAGAAATTATTTTGAAAATTTGTACTCTAATAAAATATAAAATATCGAAGGCATTGACAAATTTCTAGAGTCATATGATTTGCCCAAATTGAATCAGGATGATATACACAATTTAAACAGATCAATTTCAAGCAAAGAAATACAAGACGCCATCAGAAGCCTACCAAGCAAGAAAAGCCCAGGACTTGATGGATACACAGCTGAGTTCTACAAGACCTTCAAAGAAGAACTAACACCAATACTTTTCAAATTATTTTGTGAAATAGATAAAGAGGGAACACTTCCAAACTCATTCTATGAGGCCAATATCACCCTGATTCCAAAACCAGGCAAAGACACATCAAAGAAAGAAAAGTTCAGACCAGATACAATGAACACAGGTACAAAAAGTTTCAATAAACTTCTGGCAAATCAAATACAAAAACATATCAAAAAGACAGTGCACACAATCAAGTGGGGTTCATCCCAGGTATGCAAGGTTGGTTCAACATATAGAAATCAATAGATGTAATTCATCACATCAATAGACTTAAGAGAATCATATGATCATCTCAATAGATGTAGAAAGAGCATTCGACAAAAAAACAGTACCCCTTCATGTTCAAAACACTAGAAAAACTAGGGATATCAGGAACATATCTCGACATTGTAAAAGCTATCTGTGCTAAGCCCCAGGCCAACATAATTCTAAATAGAGAAAAATTGAAAGCATTCCTTCTAAAAACTGGAACAAGACAGGGATCCCCTCTTTCACCACTTCTGTTTTATTTTTTTAGTTTGTAGTTGGACACAATACCTTTATTTTATTTATTTATTTTTATGTGGTGCTGAGAATCAAACCCAGTGCCTCATACATGCTAGACAAGTGCTCTACCACTGAGCCACAACCCCAGTCCCTAATCACTTTAATTAATATGTATGATCATGATGTAGATGTCCATGTCCATTCTTTTGAATGTGGGTATCCATAATATAGGTGATAGAAACGACATTGCTTCCATTTAAAAAAATCATAAATACCCTCTGACAGAAAATTATATAAATTATATAAAGAACTCACCTCTTTGGAAGAATGTGCTGATCATGAATGCAAAGAAAATTGTAGCAACAGCAAAACACATTAGAAAAACAAAAATCAAACTAGGATCACTATTCTTGAACACAACCATGTTTTCCACCTAGAAAACAATCCATAGATCTACAATGTTTACATGGAAAGAATGCGGAGAAACCACAAAGTGCCTCATAAAACATTGCACAAAATGTTTTGAAAATTCAAGATATCTTAAAGTAAACAATATACACAGTTTTGTGTGCGTGTGGTGGGGAGGCACTGGGGATCAAACTCAGGTGTGCTCAACCACTGAGCTACAATCCCACACTTTTTATTTTTTGTTTTGAGACAGGGTCTTGATAAGTTGCCAAGGCTGGCATGGAACTTGCCAGCCTCTTGTCTCAACCTCACAAACTGCTGAGATTACAGATATGTGCCGTCACACCTGGGTTATACTCAATTTTTGAGACTGATATTTGGTCAGTATCCTCTATCATTTACAAATTATGCTCTGTACATGTATTTTTTGTGTGTGTGGGAGGAAAGCATAGGTTTGGATTTAAATTTGTGAGTCTGTTTGTGTTTTTGCCACTAGGGATTGAACCCAGAGGTGCTTTATCATGAGCTACACCCCCAGCTCTCTTTATTTTTTTAGTTTGAGACAGGGTCTTGCTAAGTTGCTGAGGGACTCATTAAATTGCTAAGGCTGGCCTCAAACTTGGGATCCTCCTGCCTCAGGCTCCTGTGTCACTGAGATTATAGGCATGTGCTACTGTACCCAGTTGGATTTAATTTTGACCCAATGTGGATGTTTCTTTCTTTTAATATCCCATTTTTCATTATCATTACAACAGATAAATTTGGTATTTATTTTTATATCTTATATCCTATTTATTATGATATCGTTTTAGTATTTTCTGGCCATTTTATTTGTTTCCTATATTTTGCTACTTGGTCTGGGTTTTCTTACCTTCCTTTGTCCAAACTGACATAATTTTAGCAATTTAGGAGATAAATTTTCATATATCCAAATAGGGGGTTATAATTTAGTCATTAAATGTAAATTGGCAAAATTTCATTGACTGTGTAAAAGTACAAAAAGCCATAATACCATTAATGTAAAATAAAGTTTTTTATCATTTATAATAACTATTATCAGTTATTTGTGAAGTTTAAAATTTGTATTATTTTAAAGTTTCCAAAAGTACATCTTTTAGCATTCTACTTTACTAATGAAATTAGCCACACCCATGTACACTACTTGAAGATCAGAAAACTGAAGGAAGGCAAAGATTCTAATTGCTTAATTCCCCAAAGTTTCAGTGAACACCGCCATGTATCAACCTGAGGTTTTCCAAGCAGTCACCAGTAACCACACCAAACCACATTTCTTTCCCACCCATTCATAGATTAGCATGTCCTAAAGAACAAGACATGTACCTCTGTGCAGAAGAGAATGGTCATGATAGAAACAGCAATGAAGACAGAAATGAAGAATGTGATGAACCAAGCAACCCAGTGCAGCCAGCTGTTCAATCCCATCATATACATATATTCCTAGAAAAATCAGAAGAACTAGATGTTATGACCAGTGCTCAGTCCTTTCTGGTCTGATCCAGCAGTCTGTTATAAAGACCCAAGCAGACTGGAATGAGGAGTCATGAGTTTGTACTGGAAAGGGAGGTTAGTGGAGGCTAATGGGAGACAGTGTGAGTTGGAAAAAGGAGTACAAACCAGTGAGTTGAGTGGTATTTATCGGTTTAGATATAGTACAATAGGCCTTGTATTAAAATTATTCCCCTTTAGTAATGTAAGTATACTATTGATTAGTTCATTTATTGAATGCCTCCTATAAGTGAGGGCTCCTATGGCCCAAGGATGAAGTTTAAGTTTCTTATACATCCTAATTTTAAATTCTGTTGGTGGTTACTTTGTTTTTCAAAAGCAGTATTTAACCTTCATTCATCTAAAGAAGAGTCTCAAGTGTAAAAGAGAAAATGCATGACCAATTTAATGATTGAAGTGCAAATATTTGATGTCCACTAGCACTCTACACTAGTTTGTTGCTGAAGTAATTGAACAAACTGGGACGGTCAAACTCCATCTCATATCTGGAAACTAAAAGGGAATGCTGGCCACACACTGGGAGCTCATAGTTCCTCTAGGGATTTCAGTAGGTGCAGAGTCTCAATGTTATCCATGGCAGCAAAAAGGAGGCTCCCTTGCCTTCCTGCCACTCTAGAGCAGAGCCAATGCACTGTCAGTAGCAGCCTCAAAAGGCACCTGAGTTGGTTTCCGCTCCTTCAACTGACTACCCAAGATAAAGCAGGCCAAGAAAGGCAATTTTCTAGCTATAAATGTTATCAGTGAGGTCAAACAATGATCAGAGAGACACTGCAATCTTTTTTTTAAATCTTTTTTAGTTGTAGATGGACACAATACCTTTATTTTGTTTATTTATTTTTATATGGTGCTAAGGATGGAACCCAGTGCCTCACACATGCTAGGCTACCATTGAGCTACAACCCCAATCCCTAGCAGTCTTTTTAAATACACAATTGTAAGAATCAGTAGAAGAAGAAAATTTAAGAGTAATAAGATTGTTGTTGTTTTTTTTTTAAAGAACAGAAACCAGGCATGGTTACACACCTGTAATCCCAGTAAATTGGGAGACTAAGGCAGGAGGATCCCAAGTTCAAGCCTAGCCTGAGCAATTTAGCAAAATCCTGTCTCGTAAAAAGGACTCATTCAATCCCAAGTACCAAAAATAAAAAGCAGAAAGCAAGATGAGAATAGAGAGTAGAGCAAACAACAGGAGGCAGGCAAACAGAAAAGTGTAAGGAGCAAGTAAAATTGGTTATTTCAGCAGCAACTCAGCAAGACCAACCCTGTCTAAAGTAGTGTCTTCCTTGGAGAATGCTTCCCATCCACTATGCCATGAAATGAGAGAGAGTTGTGGATGGATGATCATCCCTTCAAACAAGCATCCTCTGAACACCTTCCTCATGGGAGGCAATATGCTACCCAACCCGGATAAACGAGGCTGGACCTTCCAAGGCTAAAATCAAGGATTCCTGCAATAAAAATGAATGGCATCCTCTAAATTGCAAGTAGGTTAAAAATGAATGTAGTTCTATGTTTCACCTGGGAGGTCACTCTGACACCTAAGCAACTTCTTAACTGCTCGGGCCTTATTCCTGCTCTGACCAGTTTCACTAGCAGCTCCCCAGATCCCTGTCCCAGGAGAGCCACCCATCTGATGCAGATGAGGTTACCTTCAGTTTTCTCTCTTTCTCCAGTAGGACAGTATTGATGATGATGAGCTCAATGCATATAAAGCTGAGCATGAGGAACAGTGGAAACTCGTTCTGAAGGACCAGGAAGAACCCGTCCTGAATATGGGGCCCATGTGGGAACCTCTGCAAGAGCATATTGAGTCTCTCAAATATGTCAGCTGATGCATTGCGAGCATGGTGATGCATAATGGCTTTGTCCACAGCATGCTGTATGCCCAGGAAGCCTTCTTTGTAGTATCCTACAAGAAAATGAGATATCAAGCATAAGAAATTAAGAAAGATTGAAGATGTGAAACAACTGATGATTCAGACAGATCACGGCTAGCCATTTAGAGACAGACATTGGCAAGACAACATCCCTATAGCCTGCATGCTACCATACAGAGTAAAGAGGGGAGTTACCATGGAGCCCCCTTAGGTTGAGATGATGGCCTGTCTGATCAGAGATGGAATACAGGAATCGGGAACCAACAAAATAAGGAATGTCCCACATGAGAATCTCCCAAGGTCTGGGCAATCATATCTTCTCCCTTCTACTCAAACTCTGGGGAATGGAATTCTTGTTCTGCAGTTTTGATCATCCAGCATGTACAGGATGATTAAACTCAAAGCACTTAGAAGACATAGCCCCCTGACCTATTGTGACCTGTTTCTTAGTTGTCACATCTGCATAATCCAAGGATTATGTCTCTGAATTTTGCTGCTAAGCCTCAAAAATTGTCATTACCACAAGCAATGCACATTTCAATCCAGTGTAGTGTACCAGGGTCATCTTTTAGGAAAAACAGGTTAAAAGGTGAAGATTCTCCAAGAGGTAATGACCCTACCTCCAAGCATGGGCAGCCAGCCTTCCATATGGGCAGAGCAAGGTGGGGTATATTAGCTGTGTAGTAGAAGTGACTACTGTCCTTCTATTTTCTAGATCTAGGCAGACCTAGATCTGTCAGGATGAAAAAGGTAGAGGCAAATCATCAGTAATAAATTCTGGAAATAGCTTTGCGTTCTTGGTTATATGTAGGAATATTTTCACTGCATAACTGCTGAATCTTTTCTAGAATCACATGAAACTATAAGTACCTGGATGTGGGTTCTCACATGGTGAGCATGCAAGCCCAAGACTTCAAGCCAACTGTGTGGTCATTGTAAAATGAGGTGTAGATTACCAACTATTTAAAAAAACAAAACAAAACAAAACAAAAAAAAAACAGTTATTTGCCTAAAAGGCATTCACCCTAAATCTCTCATAAAGAGGGAAACCATAAAAATCTAAAGAGACCATGATTCTTTCACAAGAGAACTGGATCCTGGGCTTTCTCATAGGAATCTAATGCTTACTGTGAAGGACAGAGGTTGAATAGAACTCCAGTGATGTTCTGCTACTTCTCCAGAAGGCTGTCATGGCAGAAAGGAAAGCAGAAGCCTGTTGTGGCAGAAAGGAGAGCTGGGGCTGTAATGGTTCAGGTTGGTTCAAGCAAACTAGGTATCAAATAGGAGTGTCTACTTTGTCAGATGCCGTTAGATCTTTTTCCACAGCAGAGAGTGTCGCGTTCCTGGCAACAGAAACACTCAGACCTTTTGCCCACCCAGGGACGCCACTTGCCGGGCTCGTGACTAAAACACTCAGGGGTCACTCCAGGGGAACTGGGCTAATTGGGCTGCTCAAAATAACCACGCAAGAGACAGAAATACCTTTTTCTTTGGGGGTGCTGTGGCGGCTCCTCTGACCTTAAGGGTCAGCAGAAAGAGAGAGAGGGAGCCCACACGTGCTGACCCCTTTTATTGAGGAGAAGCTATTTAAATGAGGCAAGGGGCTGAGGATTAGCTTCATGATGTCTGGGGCTGAGTTTAGCTTCATGATGTCTGATGTCAGCAGGCTGACTGACATATAGGTAGGCCACACCCAAGGACATAGTAAGAGAAGGAGACACACAAAGGGTGTTTCCATGGAACATTCTATCTCAAACAGGGCAAGGGGTAATATTACAAAGGAATAGGTGAGCATAGCTCCACCCATAGGGATGTAGGAAGGCACGCCCATGCACGAAGACACAGTCGCTCATACCCTAAAAATTGGGGCTAGTGTCCGGGTTACCTAGGCAACCAGATCACAGAGTGACTCATGATGCCGCACCAATCAGAAGGGAGACAGACACAGTCGCATACTAGTTTGGCCTTCCACAAGAGAGCAAGCTGATGAGAAGCAGCCACTCAGAAAGGCTCTCCTTTATCCTCACTAGAAGGTTGCCAGGGCAAAAAGTCAGCATGAATTCCCACAGAAAGAGAACTAAAGCACCAAGGGATCATGGCCCAGATTTAGAACCACACACCATCCCTTGGGACAAATTAGGAGCTCTTGGAAGCACACCCTTTGGTCTTAATGTTCTGTCAGCTTCTCCTGAGAAAGACTGGTAGGGGAAAGGAACCTTTCTGAGACCAAGGATAGGAGCATAGTCAGCCAAGATCATGTGGCCTAGAAGAGGAAACTGGGATTCTTATGCCAGTAGTCGGGTGGGGCAGGAGGGCAGAATAAGAATCAAGAAGATCTAAAATATCAGAGTGAGTAAAATCAAAGTGAAGCATTAATCAATGCAGAAGCCAGGCAGAGTTCAGAGATTCTGGGGACAGAGCTGGGAAGTATCCTCCAAAGCAAGAAAAGAATCTTTAGAGCTGTCCAGGCAGGCATGGAGCCTTTCAACAGTGAAGAAAGTTGTGTTCTGTTCCTCCTTTATTAAATTGAACAGAAAAGATGAAACACAAAGGGCGTAGTTAGTGGAAAGAGGCATGCTAGGTATGGATAAATGGAACATATATGTTAAACAGGATATGTGTTCAAAAGAACAGAACAGCCTGGGGGTGTAGCTCAGTGGTACACTTGGCTAGCACTTATAAGGCCCAGGGTTTGATCACCAACACCACAAAAGAAGAAGGAGGAGGAGGAGGAGGAGAAAGGAAGGAAGGAAGGAGAAAAGAGAGATAACGAATAAACAGGAGTGGAACTTACAAGTAGAAATGGCCAGATAAATCTGACACATTTGTAAAGCACAGATCACTTTTTCCCCATGATGATGGATATGTCATCCCTACATTGGCCACCCACTGGTAATACCAGTTATGGTTGCACTCTGTCCCTGATGTCCTCTGCCCAAGAAACACAGACAAAGCCCACAGGTGCTCAGCAGGCTACTCAGAAGCTACAGGGACCAGGTGGTTCTGCCCCAGTACCTCAAGTAAGTGCTGGTGTCTGCTGTGACACAGAGGATATGCAAATGTTGGTTCTCCAGCCTTGGGGATCGATTTCCTGGCAGTAACCTCTAGAGCTATTATTGCATCAAGATAAATTCCCACGCAACACTCTGGGAGCTTTAACATCTTTAAAAAGTCCACTAAAATGGTGGTCTGCAGAGAGCAATAGTAAATATTTTTTTAAAAGAAAAGTTAATATATACAGAAACCTAGGAAAGGGACTCACACTCATTGTTCATGTAAAATGCTTCCATCCTTCTTTCAAACAATATAATTGTATGCATAACATACATGTAAGCATGTTATATGTTTTAACTTATATGTAAGCATATTACTGAATGCCACATTTTCAAATTCAAATTCCTTCAACTACTTCTGAAGTGCTAAGCTTATTAGTAAGTGTTCAGGCAGCAAAACAATAACAAAATAGCATCATAAACATGAGCCATATTTAAAATGATACAAATAGGAAAAGAAGAGCTCAAACTATCACTATTTGCTGATGACATTATTCTATATTTTGAAGATCAAAAAAATTCCACCAGAAAACTTCTAGAACTAATAAATGAATTCAGCAAAGTAGCAGGATATAAAATCAATACCCATAAATCAAATACATTTCTATACATAAGCAATGAATCCACTGCAAGAAAAATTAGGAAAACCACCCCATTCATAAAAGCCTAAAAAAAATACTTGGGAATCAATCTAACAAAGACTTCTATAATGAAAACTACAAAACACTAAACAAAGAAATTGAAGAAGACCTTAGAAGATGGAAAGATATCCCATGCTCCTGGATAGACAGAACTAATGTAGTCAAAATGGCCATACTACCAAAATTATTATACAGATTTTAATGCAATTTCCATTAGAATCCAAATGACATTCTTCATAGAACTAGAAAAATCAATCATGAAATTAATTTGGGGGGCTGGGGCTGAGGCTCAGTGGTAGAGGGCTTTCCTAGCACATGTGTGGCGCTGGGTTCGACCTTCAGCACCACATAAAATAAATAAATAAATAAAATAAAGATATTGTGCCCAACTTCAACTAAAAATATATTTTAAAAAATTCATTTGGAAAAATAAGAGACTCAGAATAGCCAAAGCAATCCTCAGCAAGAAGATTAAAGCAAGAGGCATCACAATACCAGACCTTAAACTATACTACAGAGCTATAGCAACAAAAACAGCATGGTTTTGGTATCAAAATAGACATGTAGAGCAATGGCACAAAATAGAAGACACAGAGACGAACCCACAAAAATACAGTTATCTCATACTAGACAAAGGCACCAAAAACATACATCAGAGAAAAGATAACTGTTCAACAAATGGTGCTGGAAAAACTGGAAATCCATATGTAGCAAAATGAAATTAAACCTCTATCTCTCACCCTGCACAAAAATCAACTCAAAGTGGATCAAAGACACTAGACACTTAGACACTAGAGCAGAGACCCTGCATCTGCCTAATAGAAAAATAGTAGGCTGGGGCTGGGGATGTGGCTCAAGCGGTAGCGTACTTGCCTGGCATGCGCGGGGTGCTGGGTTCGATCCTTAGCATTACATAAAAATAAAATAAAGATGTTGTGTCCACCAAAACCTAAAAAATAAATATTAAAAAAATTCTCTCTCTCTCTCTCTCTCAAAAAAAAAAAAGAAAGAAAGAAAGAAAGTAGGCCCAAATCTTCATTAAGTCACCTTAGGACCTGACTTTCTTAACAAGTCTCTGAAGCACAAGAAGTAAAATTAAAAAATAAATAAATTGGATGGATTCAAACTAAAAAGTTTCTTCTCAGCAAAGGAAGCCATCAATAACATGATGAGAGAGTCTAAAGAATGGGAAAAAAAATCTTTACCACACACCCCTCAGATAGAGCACTAATCTCCAGGATATATAAAGAACTCAAAAAACTTAATACCAAAAAACCAAATAACCCAATCAATAAATGGGCTAAGGAACTGACCAGACATTTCACAGAAGAAGAAATACAACCAATCAATAAATATATAAAAAATGTCCATGATCTCTTGCAATTAGAGAAATGCAAACCAAAACTACTCTAAGAGTTCCTCTCACCCCAGTCAGAATGGCAATTATCAAAAATACAAGCAATAATAAGTGTTGGCGAGGATGTGGGGGAAAAGGTACACTCATACATTGCTGGTGGGACTGCAAATTAATGCAACCACAATGGAAAGCAGTATGGAGATACCTCAGAAAACTTGGAATGGAACCACATTTGACCCAGCTATCCCTCTCCTCGGTCTATACCTAAAGGACTTAAAATTAGCATACTACAGTGACACATCCACATTAATGTTTATAGCAGCTCAATTCACAATAGCTAAACTATGGTACTAACCTAGATGCCCTTCAACAGATGAATGGATAAAGAAAATGTGGTACATATATAAATGGAATATTACTTAGCCTTAAAGAAGAATGAAATTATGGCATTTGGAAGTAAATGGATGGAACTAGAGAACATCAGGCTAAGTGAAATAAGCCAATCCCAAAAAACCAAAAGCTGAATGTTTTCTCTGATCAGCGGATGCTGATCCATAGTGGGGTAGGGGGAGAGGAAAGAATGAAGGAACTTTGGTTTGTGTAGAGGGGAATGAGAGGAGGGGTGGGGCTGCAGGGATGGGAAGAACAGTAGAAGGAAACAGACATTATTACCCCATGTACATGTGTGATTACACTACTGGAGTGACTCTGCACCATGTACAGCTGGAGGAAGGAGAAGCTATGCTCCATTTGCGTACAATATGTCAAAATGCATTCTATTGTCATGTATAACAAATTTTAAAAAATAAAATAACCAAATATGAGCCATAGGACAAGAGTGGGTATGCTCATGGTAGTTCACACAGCTTCTGGATTTCCTCACCAGGGATTCCGCCATCAGTAAATGCAAATTCCCTGGGTTCATAGCTTAGGTTAGGAGGATAAAGAAAGGATGTGCACCAGCCTTCGGAGTCCTCTTGAAGAAACGCATGCTTCATTGATGCAAAAAGTTCCTCCGAATATAACTGAAGCGCAAGTTATACTTCACCTACAGAGTATAAAGAGAAAACAAATTTGGTCACAAGATGGTGAAATTCAGCAGTGGCAAAACAAAGCACTGTGCTTGACATCAGCTGTGACTGGAGGAAAGGCCCACACTGGTTGATGTCAGTCCTGGAACTGACCACATAGCATTCTCTCATGCAGGTCTTCCCTGCATTCTCTGCAAATTATCCCTGGAACCAAACTGGGGAAAAATAATAGGATACTGAATACTCTGAACCCAGGCCACTGGACCTAAACTCAAAATCTCCTATAGAAGAACTATACTACCCTGGACAAGTTTCTTTATGCTTCAGTTTCCCCATCAATAAAATGGGGATGCTATTATCAGTTCCTATTTTGAAGACTGCTGTAGGCTTACATGAAATGGTGTCTGCAATGTGCCTGGCATTGATGAGTGAAGTGCCTACAAAGTATTCCCGGTTTTTTTATTAACCCCACACAAGTTCTAACAATTAATCATCAGATCATAGAGCACAAAAACTGTACATGAGTAATTTTCTCATTCTAAAACATTAAATATTCAAATGTTTACCTGTTTTTTTCCCTTAAACACACACAGAAACCTATCATACCTGAAGTGAGATTAGTAATAATGGCAAAATAACTAATCCTCTCTGGAAAACTCCTATTACAGGCTCTGTTCTAAGTGCTTAACAGACATAAATCTATTTCATTCTCACAACAACCCTGTATGTTAGGCACTAATAATAACCTCACTACACCAGTAAGGACACTGGGGCCCTAAAATGTTAGACATTGCAGACACCATTTCATAACTTTCCTGAGTTTGCACCACTAATAAGGTGCAGAGGTAGGACTGGGCTTTATGTACCCTGGTTTGGAGCCCACTTCTATAATTAAGCAGTTAAATACATGTCATCCAGCATTGTCAGGACAGAAGTTTGCTCAGAATAAATTCTCTTTTAAAGAATCTAAAAGCCAAAGGGACTTCAAAGACCAGTGGTAAGACATGAAACACAAAAGCATTCTCTCATCAACTCTGGAAATAAGATGGCAAAGCTACCACAGAGGAAAGCAGAGGAGCAAATAAGCTACTTAGGCTCAAGGTAAAGTTGTAAAAGAAGTTTGTTACAGAAAAGATTTTCTTACCCCAAGTGGCAAAGGTTCCCTGCTGTCATTGAAGTTATGGTCAAAAACAATTCCTACCAATATGTAGAAAGCTTTGGGATCATTAATTTTGTAACTTTCAAACACAGACATGGAAGAAAAGCCTAGAACTATAGAGAAAAAAAATCCAATTAGAGAGCAGCTGGGTGTGCAGGCAAATGCTATCTACTTCCCCCTCTCTACCTAAGGAGATATAAAATATCAGTTTACTTCTCCATTCACTCATTCATTTTGCAAATATAGGAGCAAAGAAATTAAAAGACAGAAGGTGGGAAGACAAGAGACATCAGACAAGAATCTGATTAATCACCTGAGAAATGTTTGCACTGAAAAAGGTATGTTTGCAATTTGTGCTGATCATGATTTTGTAGTTCAAGAAGACTTCATGAAAGCAGTCAGAAAAGTGACTGATTCTAAGAAGCTAGAATCTAAATTAGACTACAAACCTGTGTAATTTTATTGTAAGGTTTTGGATGGCTGCATGACAGACATTGACTTAATGTAAAAATAAAGTTAAGGAAAATAATGTATGTATTGGCAATGATCTCGTTAAATGTGAATGAATAAAATATGTATGAGTAACATAAAAATTAGTATGTGATTCAGTAATTCAACTTTTAAAATTGACACAGAAGAAATTTGTATGTTTGTTAATGTTGCATTTATTGCAGCAACAGTTACAAGAGTATTGAAGCTTTTCGCATTTGCCATGTGAGCATTTTGTAAAACACTGAAAAATAGTTTGAGATAGTAGTACAAAAGAGCATTTCTTAAGACTTATTTTATATCATTTGTTTTCCTCATTCTAACAAAATTTAATAAAATCTGTTTGATTTAGTTCTAAAAAAAAATCTGATTAATCAGGTCAGAACATGAACTGGAAGTCTACAATCCCAAGAACTGCTAGCAACTGTCCTGGGACTTCATGCTAAGGAAGGGAGAGAGAGAATTATGTCCTGTGAGTAACTTGAGACCTGGGTAAAGCCTGATGGGTTTGTTGTTGTTGTTGTTAAAAGAATGATCTTTATTTTTGTAGGAAGTTTAAGTTCCATTTCATCCTTTCATATCTTGTTTATAACCCAAGTTTTACATGTTGGTTATTTTATTTTTCTTTTCTAGAAATGTTTGCCCCCTCCCAAGTTCAATTGGCTAAGTGACTATAGTGACATACTACCTACAAATATGTTCTTTTATTTTTTGAACTAAGTAGTGATTTTGTAATTTGAGACTAATAATTCCATTATCTGAATCTTCTAGTTCTGTTTTTTTAATCTTTATTTTATTTATTTATGTATTTATTCATTCATTCATTCATTTATGTGGTGCTGAGGATTCAACCCAATGCCTCACCCATGCAAGGCAAGCACTCTACCGATGAGCCACAACCCCACCCCCTCTATTTCTGTTTTTGCTCTCTGTTGTTAATACTGTTTGTCACCCTTGGTATCATTTCCTGGCACATTTGCTCACTGACATTAAAATATTTGTGTGTGGGGTGGGGGAGTGTCTTCTTTGAGATACAGAATGATGGTATATCCTCCAAAGAAGACTTACACTGCGTCTCTCAGTCTTGAATCCCACTTCATAGTGTGAGGGGTTTTCATTTTTCTTTTTTTTTTTTCACTTTCATTCCTTTTCCCCCCCTATTCTTTTCTCCCCACAACTGCCTTGTGTCTCTCCTTGAATTTGAGCTACAAGTCTCAGGGTTGAGCTCTCCTTGTTGTGCTCAATTCCAAGGCAACATTCCTGCAGATCCTCAGGGGTAGGAGTGATATATATTTACTTCTACTTTACATTAAAGATGTAGGCAATTTGGGTTCCAGCTTTATGGAGAGATAGTCTCCTATTTGACACTCCACCTTGAATGAGCCTTAACTTCTTATTTCGCTCTGTGCCTTACAAGGCTATGAAAACTAGTTCAATTTCCTCTAGTACGATGCATGTTTCATCAAAAGCAATTTAGGGCCTCTTTGGGTTCTTTCTTTCATCTAGATATTTTTATGTAGGAAATTATCTAACAAGCTGGAAATACATTTACAATATGGTGATAAAAGTCAGACAACAAAACTGTTCCTACAATAGGATCCAATTTTTAGGTATTTACATGGTTAGAAAAAGTTGGGGCTCAGTGGTAGTACCCTTGCGTGGTATGTGTGAGGCACTGGGTTCAATTCTTAGCACCACGTATAAATAAAAAAAATAAAGATCTATCGACAACTAAAAAATATTTTTTAAAAAAGTGTAAGAAGGATGTCCACCAAGATATAAGGAGTAAATTTATTTATTTCAAATATGGACAGATAGGCACAGTTTCTGTTTTGTTTCTTTAGCCTTATTTAGGTTATATTTATTTATTATTTATTACAATTCCTCCACCTCAGCCTCCCAGTAGCTGGGACTACAGGTATGTGCCACCACACCTGGCTTAGGTTTCTTTTTAAACACACACACATATACACAGTTAAATTGTAAAAATTATCAGATACATATGAAGGTATCCAAAACAAAATGCTCAGTTTAATAAATAGTTATAAAATTAATACCTAAGTAATCATCCCTTGGATTAAAAGATAAAATACTTATATATTTTTTTTGCTAGATAATTCCTGACTATTTAGTTCTTTAATGCTTCCAAGAACATATTTTTAGTTTTCATCCAGCATTTACATTTCACTGGAGGGATGATCCAAATGAGCTAGTCCGCTATATTACCAGAGAGAATGGCAATAACCTCTTTTTCAGAAATTTCCAGGAAAAAAATCTCACATTTCCTTGATTCCCACTAAGCATGCCTCCATGACAGAATATCCATGCAAGGGACTGCAAAGTGCAGATTGGTTTAGGCATTGGTTACATGATCTATCCCAAGCCCAGAGTGCAGTCAACAGCAATGAAAATACATGAGCTGAGAGCGGGAGGGGTTCAGACTCTCAGAGAAACAGGCTACAGGAAGAAAACCAAAACTGATGTCCACCACACACTGGAAAAGATCATCAAACTGTTATTTGTCATTACTCTAGGGTGAAGAATTTTATTAGGATATGGAATAAAAAGGAAAAGTTATTTTTATCTTTTGTCTTTTATATTGTGTAAAATTTCCAGTACAAAGGAGTTCCTGTATTTACTGTAAGTTTCAATGTATTGAAGATTTTTTTAAATCCCAGAAAAGTACATTCCAATTTGTAAAAGAATTCTGGGAAGTAGGACTTGGGATTAGGCACCTAACTTTAATTAATACCATACAGTTTCATGTATCACATTTGTGCTAAAGAGAACAGTGAGAAAGGAAGGCAGTGTTTGGGGAACAAGAAGTGAGTAAAACAGAGGGAAGCAAAGATATCAGGAAAGCAGAAACAAAAGACAGCAAAGGAGAAGAGGATTTCAAGGAAGAAGTATTTGGACACTACCCTGTTGTATAGCAAAGACACAGAGAATGAAGACTGGAAAGGAAGTCCTGGATTTGGCAACTAGCAAGACCCTGATTGTCAGAGTCTGTAAACAAGTCAAAATAACACCTGGCATTTTGCCAGGGGAATGTGAGAGTTCGTACAAGTCTGGATGGTGCCTGGCAAAATGCCAGAGGGAGTGGTTTGAGAAGTAGCAAAAGCGAGCCATTAAGTGTGGAGATTCCTTATTGGTTGACTGATGTATCTAGTTTATGCTAATTAGATAAGCTGTGTGGAATGTATAAATACTGCTCCTGTCCTGCAATAAACGGCTTCCACTCCTGCTGTATCAATCTACACAAGTTGTTCGTCACCCCCCCGGTTATTTTGCTGCAGCCGGACTGCGGCAGATGGTGGCCCGTTACGGGGAGCCCCGGGACACTCGGGGGTAAGTGACGGAAAAAAAAAGCTGCCCGTCCATAGATAGGACGGGAGCAAATCTGCTCGTCCCTAGGCAGATAGGGCGAGAGGAAAAATGGCCATTTCGAGAAAATGGAGAAGATTGATGCAGTATGTTTGTGTCTTGTTTTGTCTCAGTGTATTGTATTGTCTTTGTGATGAATATATGGAAGGGGTGAGAAGTAAATTACTAAGGGAAGAAGGCACCCCAGTGGAACCAAGAATAGTTAGGGCATGTGTTGATGGAAGCCCAGGAACTCTAGTCAGAAAGAAACAGAAAGTTCAGAAGAAGAAAGATTCTCAGAGGAGGAAGGATTATCAGGAAAAAAGTTGCAGCAAAAGGCTATTACTAAATACTTTTTGTTACCGGAGTGTGCGTGAAGCGGAGAGGCGGCTGCCGAGTGTGCAAGCCAGTCACAGCGCAGCAAGGATTTTCCAAGAGGCGGAGGCGACTGGCCCTTCCCTGCCTCCTGGCCAGGGAGCTGGCTCTTCCACTGCCACGAGCCCAAATCTAGACCTGACCTGGAGGCACAGTCTCACAGGCTCTTGCTCCCTGTGCCCAGTAGCAGTTTGAGTCCAGGACACTCCCCAGGGCCATCTGGGGCTGCCCAGGCACTACAGCCAGCAGAAGACACTACTGGTGTCCCTGATGTTTGGTCTTTTCAATGCCAATAACTAAGCTACAATGGTTCTCCCACACCTGGAAGCTGATGAGTAATGAGCACCATTAAGGCTTATTTCAAATGTAAAAAACCTTGAGATAATGTACTAAATTGTTTAAAAGGTTGTTTTCTTAGTTGAATGCTATAGGATTTTCTTTAGCCATCCGGAGTTCCTGCCTTCATCCCAGTGCCGGTAAAGACCAAGGTGGAAGAATTTCCAGTGTTGCTGAGAACCGGACGAGACTTCGGATCAAGCTAGCTGCCTGCAGAACTTACCTGGACTGTGATTTACCTGGACTGTGAGTTAATCTATTGAGACACTGCTTTACCTGGACTGAGACAACAAACTGTAATCTACAACAAATTGTAACTCGATATCTTTACAAATGGTGTCATTGCTGGTATAATTTTTCCAAGGGCTTCTTGCATGGAGCCATCAAGTGGCTTGGTATTGTGACATTTTGTATTCTCCCCTTCTGCTTATAGCAGATTATTTATGGTGTTTATGTAAAAACCACTATGGTCGTTATTTAAATTATAACAAAAGGGGGAAAATGTCAGAGTCTGTAAACAAGTCAAAATAACACCTGGCATTTTGCCAGGGGAATGTTAGAATTCATAAACAAGTCTGGATGGTGCCTGGCAAAATGCCAGAGGGTGTGGTTTGAGAAGTAACAAAAGCAAGCCATTAAGTGTGGAGATTCCTTATTGGTTGACTGATGTATCTAGTTTATGCTAATTAGATAAGCTGTGTGGAATGTATAAATACTGCTCCTGTCCTGCAATAAACGGCTTCCACTCCTGCTGTATCAATCTACACAAGTTGTTCGTCACCCCCCCGGTTATTTTGCTGCAGCCGGACTGCGGCACCTGATCACATTTTCTTAGCAGATATCACTCTAGTACTGAGGGCAAAACAGAGATTATGTTACTAAGTGGGTGGGAAGAAATAAAATAGAAATAATTTCCAAGATATTTATCAGACAAACATAAATTGCCTGAAGAAGGATCTTAAAGGGGAAAGAATACAGGAAATGTTTCCTTCTGAAGTGGAGGTGACTGAGGCTTGTTTGGGAGTGAGGGGGAAATCCATACAGATGGAAACACTTCTCTAAAGGGGTAAGGTACTGACTGAGGAAGGTCCAAAAAAGGCAAGAAGGCTTCTGACTGATCCCTTCTAATTCCAAAATGTATCTTGAATTCAACTATGTATCTCCATCTCCCTAGTTCAAGCTATCAGATCTTTTAAATCAAATTATATCATAGAACTTTCAAACTTAAAAAATTTTAAATTTAAATATTTTAAAACAAACTATATGTTTTCTTAAAACCCCATAGATGGCTGCCTTTTGCACGTACAACATGGTCTGCAAGACTCAGAATTACGGGGCTCCTACCAACTTCTTAAACCTCAGCCCAAGCCACTCTCTCAATGTGCTCTAGCTGGCTTGCTGACTTTGGAATCTTCAATACTTAACTACTTACTTCCTCAGGACCTTGCTATTTGCTATAGAAATCCGTCAAGGGGAATGAAGCAGAGGCGAGAAACTGAAAATCTGCTTAGCTACCTTCATAAGCATCATTTCAGCTAAAACCTGAAGCTAAGAGAGAATAGCTCCCCAGAAGGGCTGGAGCACAGTTTTTTTTTTTGTTGTTGTTGTTGTTGTTTGTTTGTTTTGTTTTGTTTTTTGCCAGAGGGAAGAGCTGGTGAAAAGCCACCTGCATGTGCAGGATATGATAGCACAGGGAGAGTGGGCTTGGAGGAGGCTGGAGAGGAAGGCAGAGGCAGCCTGGAGAATCTGGTTCACTCTTGGTGCAATTGGAAGGACATGAGCTGAATCTTTTTTTTCCAGATGGAGTCTCACCATGTTGACCAGGCTTGGACTCCAGCAATCCTCCCGACTCAGCCTCCCAAATAGCCAGGACTGCGGGAGTACAATCTTATGACCTTTTGAGGACCTTTCTTCCTCCCTGGGAGACTGAAGTAGAATGGAACAAGAGAAGCACAGAACCTGTCAGAGTCTCTGAATGGTTTCCATTCTTTATTAGAGACATGTAATAACTGGCAATCAGATCTTCTGATTAACATGAAATAATAGGGTCATGATAGTTAAAAATACTTATTAACATTTAACATTTTGATTACCCTTGAAGCCTCATGATATAAATATATGTCTCTAGTGTGTTTTTTGAAATAATAAAAATGTATCATGGATAGTTTTCCTCCAACTACCACCTGCGTGGGCTCTTTAGAATTTGAAAACCTCAGATTTGGAATTACTTCTATAAGCAGAACTCTCAGAAAACAGTTTCATACTATGTGAAAATACCTTCCCTATCCTTTCCCCACCTTAAGTCTAACCTTCAAACTCAACATCGAAAGTATCTTCCACCATTTCAGTGAGAGCCTTCAAAGTCTCACTCTTGGAAGGGATATAAACTAGTTGAAATTTATTTTTCACAGGAAACTGATGGAAGAAGTCTGGCAGCGAACTGACATCAATTGCACTGTAATTAGTAGCAGCTCTTTTTCTTGGGACACTATTAAAACGAAGATACAATACAACTGCAGAAAATAGTAATGGCATCAAGATTTCAAGCACTGTCATCAGAATCCTCCGCTTCTAAAATAAAAACAAAAGTTACAGGTTAACTCAAAATCAGACTCTAAGTCTCTATTGAGGAGAATGTTCTTCCATTTCGCATCCTATAATCCCAGTGGCTCTGGAGGCTGAAGCAGAAGAATCAAGAGTTCAAAACCAGCATCAGAAATTAGTAAGGCCCTAAGCAATTCATCAAAACCCTGTCTCTAAGTAAAATATAAAAAAGGGCTGGGGATGTGGTCCTTGGGTTCAATCCCTGGTACCAAAAAAAAAAATCCTTTCTTCTATCTCCCTATATAACAAATGGGGTGGGGAGAATAATAGTTTAATAGAAACATCTCTATTAACTTTTCTTTTTTAAATATCTTTTTTAGTTGTAGTTGTACACAATACCTTTATTTTATTTATTTTTATGTGGTGCTGAGGATCGAACTCAGTGCCTTGCACATGCTAGGCAAGTGCTCCATCACTGAGCCCCAGCCCCTCTATTAACTTTTCTACAACACCACTGGTTGGAAATCAGACAATGATATCATCTTTCATAATGAGGGTTAACAGAATTACCATGGAAACATGACTTATTTGCAGAATAGTGCCCCTTTACAAGCAAAGTTCTTACTGTTTCTTTAACCCATTATTAGCAACCAATTTCACATAAACATTCAGTCACTCCCAAGAACCTACATCCCACCATGAATAACTATACCTACCTTTAAGATGAAATTCTTCCAGAGAAGAAGTTTTAACTTCTTGAACACTGCCATTTTTCTAGCTGAAGGGGAAGGCTCAGCACTAGTCAGGAAACAAATGGGTGAAACGTTATGTGTAATGCAAGAATGCTAAGAGGTACTCTTATATCCTTGGACAACCTTCTTGTGGGCTTTCAGAGCATCATGCTGGCTGCTTTTTCTCCTACCTTTCCAGTTGTTCCTTGTCAGTCTTTTAAACTGATTCTTTCTCCTCTCCCTAGCCCTTATGGGGCTCAGACTGTGGACTCTTTTCCAGTAACACTCCTTAGGCGACCTAACTCAGCCCTGAATTAGGATCCAACTTCATGCTGAAGACTTCTATATTTGTACAACCAGCCTGCACCTTGCCTTAAGCTCCGTTTCCAATTATCCAGTTGCCTGCTTGACATACCCACATGTTTCATCTCAAAACTGACCTGGCCAAACCGGGCTATTCATATTCTTTCAAAAATAGGTCATCCCACAGTCTTTCTCACCTCAATTCATTCAGTTCTATTCTTTGAATCATACAGGGTTATTCTTGGCTTTCCTCTCTCTTTCACAGCCCAAGTTTAGACCTCAGCAAATCCTATTGCCTCTACCTTTAAACACTCCCAGAATTCAACCCCCTTCCCCACTTCTGCTCTTTATCATTCCTTGCCTCAATTTCTGCAGTAGCCTCTGCAGTGGCTTCATTGCCTCTGACCTTGTTACCTTAAAATCCTTTTCCGAGCAGCATCAAGAGCAATCCTGTACAGTCAGATCCTGTCTGTTCTTCGGCTCAATACTCTTCAATGGCCCCAATTTTTCTCCAAGGAAAAGCCCTGCCTTACAATGGCCTACAAAGTTCTGGGGGACATAGCTCAGCTCCTACTAGTGTTCTCATTTCATCTACTCTCTTCTACTTCCCTTCCCTTCCTCCTTCTCCAGCTCCTGTCAAGGCCCAGATGCTGTCCCTAAACACACAAAACTGCTGCTATATTTGGATTTCCCCTCTGCCAGGTGCAAGTACACACTTTATTCCTGTGTTGGCATGGCCAGCTTTTCTATCTCTTTTGGATCTTTATTCAAAAGACACTTTCTCTTTGAAGACCTTCTTGACCATTCAAAATAAAATCTCAACATCTCTAAACATTTCATACAACTTTTCATGTTTATTCTTCTTAGCACCATTAAGCTATGTAACATATTTATGTACTTATTTAATCTTATTTCCTTACTAGAATGCATGTTCCATGAGGCATGAATTTTTTTTTGTCTGTTTGTTCTACCACAGAATCCCCAGGCATAAAAGCAGAGCTGGCACATAGTAGGTGCTCAGTAAATATTGAATTAAATGACTAATTGATTAATTAACTAAGAGATACATAGTCTTTGTAGGGTTATGGATGGAGTAGGAATGACTGTGAATAGATAAAAATACTTCTGGTTAGCAGAAGATTCCACCTCTTTTCAATCTTTTTGTTTATATTTTAATTTTTAGAAACCATTACTATAATAAAAATGAATTTTGCTTTACCAGAAAACATTTTTCCAGTGAGGAAAGAAAAAGATATACATCTTCCCTCAAGTGGAGGTACTCTTGCCTTTACACATTTGCAATTAAAGCAGTAGAGCTTATAAATATAGGGCTAAACCTAGTTCTGGGCTGGATCACATCCTTTGTGTTACACTTTTAACAATACTGTTTTCTTAAACACAGAAAACTGTCTCTTTCTCATAACACAAGAATTTTAGAATAGGAATAAAAGCAGAGCGTACTCACAGACGATGGTGGAAACTGGCCCCTCCACTGAATTGTCTGAAACAACTGTCTGTGGTGTCCACTAGGGACTGGTTCCAGGACACCCTTCCCTCCACAGATACCAACTATGTGGAAGCTCAAATACCTTACATAAAACAGAACTGTATTTGCATATAACCTATGTTTGTTCTCCCATACTTTAAATTTAAATTATCTCTAGGTTACTTATCATGTATAAATACAATATAAATCCTATGTAAGTGGTTAGCATACTGCATCATTTAGGGAATCATGATAAGAAAAAAGACATGAACATGTTTAGAATAGACACAACTACCACTGGTCTAACTACATAGTCCACAATCTACAGCTAATTGAATCCATGGGTGTGGAACCCAAGAATACTGAAGGCCAACTGTATGTGCCAATTATAAGAGACTCACTTGATACCCCAATCACATGTAGGTTGAAAGTGAAGGATGGAAAAAGCTCTTCCATGCAAATATAACTAAAAAAGGGCAGGCTGACTATAATAATACTTGACAAAGTAGATTTTAAGCAAAAAAAAAAAATTACAGGAGAAAAAGGATATTTTACACTAAGAAAAAGGCCAAATCTTCAATAAGATAGAATGATTAATAATGACATCCTATCATTTATAGTAAAATAGATGAAACTAGAGGATATTATGTTAAGTGAAATAATCCAGACGTAGAAAGACAAATGCTGCATCTTCTCTCTGATGTATGGATGCTAAAAGAGTTGATCTGAATATAGAAGAGTGGTTACTAGAGGCTGGGGAGGGGGGCATAAAGTGACATCAGATGACATTTAGCAAATGTGACATATTTATATAGGAGTAATAAGTTCTAGTGTTTGATAGCACAGTGGGGTGACTATAGCTAGTGCACAATAATCTATTATATAAATAGCTAGAAGAGAGGAGCTTGAAGTCTCCAAACACAAAGTAGTGACAAGGAGATGGAAATGTTTATTACTCTGATTTGATCAGTACATGCTGTATTTATGCACTTAAGTATCACACTGTACCTCATAAATGTGATTATTGTCTGTTCATAAAAAATATAACTTGGTGTGGTGGTACATGCTTGTAATCCCAGCTACTCAAGAGGCTGATGCAGGAAGACTGCAAATTTGAGGCCAGCCTTGGCAACACAGGGAAATCCTATATCAAAATAAAATTCAATAAAATGGACCAGAGGTATGGTTCAGAGGTAGAGTCCTTGCCTAATATGTGAGAAATCCTGAGTTCAATCCTCAGTACCACACACAAAAAAGTTAACAGAAATGAAAAGTTAACTGACCTAATTTGATCATTACACATTTATATCAAGTTATCTCACTGTACCCCATAACCATGTACAATTAGTAATTACATTTAAAAAATAAGCATGACCATAAAAGAAGATAAATATATACACACCAAACAACAGAGATCCCAAAACACATTAAGCAAATATTGATAGAATTGAAGGGAGAAATGGACAATTCTACAATAACAGTTGCAGACCTTGAAAAATGCACTGCAAAATTTCTTTTCTCTTTTTAGTGCTAGGGATCAAGCCCAGAACCTTGGGTATGCTAGGTAAGCACCCTACCACTGAGCTTCACTCCTAGCCCTCTATACTGCAAATTTAATAATAGATAGAACTAGACAGAAAATACAATACAATGTCTCTAACAAAGGGGCCACACACAAACTATAGCACACATTAAAAGGATCATGCATGGGCTGGGGTTGTAGCTCAGTGGTTGAGCGCTTGCTTTGCTTGCATGAGGCACTAGGTTCAATCCTCAGCACCACATTAAAAAAATAAACAAAGTAAAGATATTGTGTCCATCTACAACTAAATATATATATATATATATATATATATATATATATATATATATACACACATACACATACACACATATATATATATATATATATTTTTTAAAGGATCATGCATCATGACCAAATGGGATTTATCCCAGGAATGCAAAGATGTTTCAACATAAGAAAATCAATCAATGAGTATGACAAAATTATGCTATGTACATGTATAAATACACCACAGTGAATTCTACCTTTATGTATATCTTTAAATCACCAATTAAGAATAAACAAATAAATAAATAAATGGAAGGTATGCCAGTAGAGCAGAGGAAAAGAACCGGGGGTGTGGGGGGGAAGCACTGGGGACTGAAATGGAGTAAATTCAATTCCATGCATGTATAATTATGTCAAAAGGAACCCAAATTTTATTATGCACTAATAAAAGCAAAAAAGTACTTGACAAGTACATGACTTACAATGTGCAAACCAACATGAAGGCATTATTTGGAAAAAAAGAAAAGAAAACTAATCAATGTAATATATCACATTAATAGAACAACAATAAAAGTCCTACATGATCATCTCAAAAGATGCAGAAAAGGCAGTTGACAAAATTTAACACCTTTTGGTGATCAAAAATCTCAGCAAGTTATAATAGAAGATAATTCCCTAATATGATATAAGGCATTTATGATTAACCCACAGCTAACATCATAATGAATAGTAAAAGACTGAAAATTTCCCCCCTGAGGTCAGGAATAAGACAAAGATGCCTGCTTCTACCACTGGTATTCAACACTGTACTGGAAGGAAGTCCTAACTAGAGGAATTAGGCAAATAAAATAAAATATTTGTTGACTTTTTCTTCTTTTAATGAATGAACTCCATGCAATGAATTTTCTTCTTAGTACTACTTTCATAGTCTCCCAGAGATTTCGATGTTGTGTCTATGTTCTCATTTACCTCTAAGAATTTTTTAATCTCCTTAATGTCTTCTGTAACCCATTGTTCATTCAGTAGCATATTGTTCAGTCTCCAGACGATGGAGAAATTTTTATTTTTTTGTTGATTTCCAATTTCATTCCATTATGATCTGATAAAATGCATAGTAGTATCTCTACCTTTTTGTATTTGCTAAGAGTTGCTTTGTGGCATATCATATGGTTCATTTTAGAGAAGGATCCATGTGCTGCTGAGAAGAAAGTGTATCCACTTGATGCAGACTGAAATATTCTATATATGTCAATTAAGTCTAAATTATTGATTGTATTATTGAAAACAAATGCCAAATGTTTTCTCTGATATAAGGAGGCTGACTCATAGTGGGGTAGGGAGGGGGAACATGGGAGGAATAGATGAATTCTAGATAGGGCAGAGGGGTGGAAGGTAAAGGGAGGGGGGACAGGGGATTAGCAAAGTTGGTGGAATGTGATAGACATCATTATTCAAAGTACATGTATGAAGACACAAATTGGTGTCAACATACTTTATATACAACCAGAGATATGAAAAATTGTGCTGTATATGTGTAATAAGAATTGTAATGCATTCTGCTGTCATTTATTTAAAATAAATAAATAAATAATAAACACCATCTGAGTTGAAAAGGAAGAAATAAATCTATGTTTATTTACAGATCAAATGACTATGTACATAGACAATCCAAAAATACACATGCACACACGCAGGCATGCACATATACATATAAACTACTTGAGCTACTAAACAAATTCAACAAAGTTTCAGGGGGCAAGCTCAACACACAAAAACCAGTTGAATTTCAATACATTAGCAATGGACAATCTAAAAAGAAAATTAACAATTTTTACAATAGAATCCAGAAGACTAAAATACCCCAAAATAAAGTTAGCCAAAAAGGCAAAAGATTTGCACAATGAAAACTATAAAATTTGCTGACAGAAACTAAATAAGACCTAAATAAATGAGAAAACATCCCATATTCATGGATCATTGGAATTAATATTGTCAAAATGGCAATACTCCTTGAAGAAGCCTACAGATTCAATGTAAATCTTACCAAAAATTTAATGACTTTTTAAAAGAAATGTAAAACCTCATCCTTGAATTCATATGGAACTTTAAGGAATAGCCAATATAAAATTGAAAAAATAGGAGGATCCATGATTCCTGATTTCAAAACTTACTACAAAATGGGGCTGGGGTTGTGGCTCAGCCTTGCGCATGTGAGGCCCGGGGTTCGATCCTCAGCACCACATAAAAATAAATAAATAAAGGTATTTTGTCCAACTACAACTAAAAACGTAAATATTTAAAAAACCCAAAACTTACTACAAAGCTGATTATCAAAACTGACTGGCACAGGATCCAGGCTCATTGTAGGCCCGGGCCCACCCCTGCACCTGCAGGGCAGACACCCACCAGAGGCTAGCCCTTGGCACAGGACCGCCCCTTCCTACTAGCAGACTACTGCAGGAGGTCAAGCTGGGCAGCCCAGATCCACCTACATAGACCTCTGCAGGCCCCCCAAATAAAATACTTGGGAATCAACTTAACCAAAGAGATGAAATATCTATATAATGAAAATTACAGAATCCTAAAGAAAGAAGTCAAAGAAGACCTTAGAAGATGGAAAGATCTAACCTTGCTCTTGGATAGGCAGGATTAATATTATCAAAATGACCGTACTTCCAAAAGCACTATAAAGATTTAATGAAATTCCGATCAAAATCCCAATGACATTCCTCATAGAAATAGAAAAATCAATCATAAAATTCATCTGGAAAAATAAAAGACCCAGAATAGCTAAAGCAATCCTTAGCAGGAAGAGTGAAGCAGGTGGCATCACAATAACAGACCTTAAACTATACTACAGAGCAATATTAACAGAAACAGCATGGTACTGGCACCAAACCAGACTGGTAAACCAATGGTACAGAACAGAGGATACAGAGACTAACCCACAAAATTACAACTATCTTATCTTATACAAAGGTGCCAAAACATGCATTGGAGAAAATATAGCCTCTTCAATAAATGGTGCTGGGAAAACTGAAAATACATATGCAACAAATGAAATTAAACCCCTGTCTCTCACCATGCACAAAACTCAATTCAAAATGGATCAAGGACTTAGGAATAAAACCAGAGACCCTGCATCTATCAGAAGAAAAAGTAGGCCTTTCCCTCCATCATGTGGGATTAGGCCTCAACTTCCTTAATAAAACTCTTTGGGTGCAAGAATTAAAATTAAAAAATCAATCAATGGGATGGACTCAAACTAAAAAGTTTCTTCTCAGCAAAAGAGACAATCTGTGAATAGAGAGCCTACATCTTGGGAGCAAATTTTTACCCCTCACAATCACAGCACTAATCTCTAGGGTATATAAAGAACTCAAAAAGTTAAACACCAAAAAAACAAATAACCCAATCAATAAATGGGCCAAGGACCTGAACAGACACTTCTCAGAAGAGGATATACAATCAATCAACAAATATATGAAAAAATGCTCATAATCTCTAGCAATTAGAGAAATGCAAATCAAAACTACTCTAAGATATCATCTCACTCCAGTCAGAATGGCAGCTATTATAAAGACAAACAACAGTGTTGGCAAGGATGTGGGGAAAAAGGTATACTCATACACTGTTGGTGGGACTGCAAATTGATGCAGCCAATATGGAAAGCAGTAAGAAGACTTCTTGAAAAATTGGGACTAGAACCACCATTTGACCCAGCTATCCCTCTCCTCGGTCTATTCTCAAAGGACTTAAAAACAGCATACTACAGGGACACCGCCACATCAATGTTTATAGCAGCACAATTCACAATAGCTAAACTGTGGAACCAACCTAGATGCCCTTCAATAGATGAATGGATAAAAAAATGTGGCATATACACACAATGGAATTTTACTCAGCAATAAAAGAGAATAAAATCATGGCATTTGCAGGTAAATGGATGGAGTTAGAGAAGATAATGCTAAATGAAGTTAGGCAATCCCCCCCCAAAAAAAAAACAACAAAAACAAATGCCAAATGTTTTCTTTGATATAAGGAGACTGATTCATAGTGGGATAGGGAGAGGGAGCATGGGAGGAATAAATGAACTCTAGATAGGGCAGAGGGGTGGGAGGGGACAGGAGGGGGCATGGGATTAAGAATGATTTTTGAGGGCCACAATCAAGTCAAGATGGCGCCTGGCACTTTGCCAGGAGGAGTGGTTTGTGAAGTAACACCAATGAGTCATTAAGATGATGAGGATTCCTTAATGACTGACTGCTGTACCTAGATGATGTTAATTAAGTTAAGCTGTGTGTAATTAGTTAGGTATATATACCTCTGCTGTCCAGTAATAAAGCGGGACAAACATTCACAAGTTGCTTGTCACACACACACCCCCCCCCCCCAGGTTATTTTGCCCAGCCAGACTGCAGCAAATGATGGTGGAATATGATGATCATTATTTTCCAAAGTACGTGTATGAAGACACAAATTGGTGTGAATATACTTTGTATACAACCAGAGATGTGAAAAATTATGTTCTATATGTGTAATAAGAATTGTAATGCATTCTGCTGACATATATAAATAAAAAAAATGATTAAGTGGGGCTGGGGATATAGTTCAGTTAGTAGAGTGCTTGTGTCGCATGCACAAGGCCCTGGGTTCAATCCCCAGAACCACACATACACACAAAAAAACATAAGTAGATAGTTATATGTAGAAAAATGGAAATAGATACCTAGCTTTCACCCTGAACAAAAGTCAAATCAAAATGCATTAGAGACTTAGGAATTATACCAGAAATCTTGCAGCTGCTAGAGTCAACACTCCATTATATTGGTGCTGGCACTGCCTTTATTAATAAGACCTCTGAAGCAGAAGAAATAAAACCAAGAATCAATAAGTAAAATTGAATCAAATTAAAAAGCTTCAATAAGCAGGATGTCATCAAATTAAAAATCAATAAGTGGGATGCCATCATATTAAAAAGCTTCTGCACAGCAAATAAAATGATTAAGA